GTAAACAAAAGTAAAATGGAAACAATGTATGTGTAGATATGCTTTATATCCAGAAAATGTATAATCTGACCTCATTCAGCCACACTGAGAACGAATTTTAGTGAAAAATGTAAATGGAATCTGGCCAAAGTTGATCAAGATACATGAAATACATGTTAACACAAGGTATAAATAGGCGTTTTGAGTTCGTGTAACGTTAATACTTAAAGACATATGATGTGGTCTGTAAACTCCTGCAAAATATGACTCGACACCTCTGCCTTTTAAAAAATTATTACAGGCTCAGACTCAATAATGCTACTTCTTTTCATTTTGAGAAGAAAATCTTACATATTGCAGCTTTGATTTATTGTCACAAACATGTATACTGGGACTTAAGGTGGAAAATATGACAAATTTAATGTTTTCTTTTTTTGAATGTACAAACAATGTTGCCTGGTTCAATAATTAAAAGTGAACAGAAATCATATAATTGATTTCAGTAACATTTTCCAATTAAGTGACAAAATCTTATTTTTTGAAAACATTAAAGCAAAGAGATTCAACGGTTAAACGTAATACCTACATGCATATATACGAGAAACAGATATGTGACTGCATTAGGGTAATGAGAATTGGTGTAAAAAAATACTAAAAACTTTAAAATGGAAAAGTGAATAATTTTACTTTTTGCTGTAACATATAGAGCTCAAATTGATGTACTAAATTATGAATATTCTTCATCTACGTGAAGATTATGGCACTCAAATATTTATGGACATGGTTTGAGGCAGTTTCAGTCATATACGCCCAGTTATGACTATTCAGACATACATAGTTTATGGAGAGATTCTGACACATGCATGCTCACGTGCATGCAGTCTCAATTCAATCATGCAGAGATATTCATGTGAAATATCACATATGGCCAGTGAACCTAACATGTGTCTTATGAGTTTTTAAATGTAATGTTGATAACGATACAATAGTGTAAACCCACCCCACCCCCCACAAAAATAGTCCTTTGGGACTGCCAAAATGATAATAATATTAATATTTCAACAATAAATTTTAGCCCAAAGCCTACTAGCAAAAGACCTGTAACCATTTCAAGGGATAACTTTCTGTGAAGTAGCTTTTAGAGGCAATAAATTCTTCAGGTGTCTGGTTACTATCACCCCCAAAAATTTACAAGCCCTGGGGCACCTTGGAAAAGCATAAACATGGTACCATAAATGGGTAAAACATACTGATGTTCTAACATATTGGTAAGGCCATATACACTAAAAAGTGATCTACCGAATTTTTTTTCATTCAAATATTTGCATCAGTTCTACACATATAAAGTATATAACTTCAATACAAAAATTAACTGAAAGGCAAAGAGATCAATGCATCACTAATTTCAGTGTGGTTACTGTCCTCCTTCAGGTCTATTGAGATCATTGACAACATAATATAAGCTGTAGCTTTAAACTTTATCAAGGCAGGCTGTAAACATGCCCCACACTAGTGGTGCACATGTGCCATAGGGAATAAATCTCAGCCTAAATCAGAGTTTGTTTTAAAGTCTCAAATAAATGTCTGTAAGGTAAGATCTTCTTCAGTGGAGCATGTAAACTGAACTAGGCAGTTTCCCAAAAGAATCTTAGCACAAAGACGATTCTTAAATGATACAGCGAGCATCACACTAAACACTCTCTCTACTAGTTTAGATGATCTTTACACTAAAATGCACTTGGGAAACTGAGGCCTAGTTTAATGTATTGATCGCTGTTTGGCCTTTTAAACAACTGTCAAAAGATCTTGTTACACACTAAGATTGTGAAATATAGGCCTATTATACAAATAATGTGACATATAATGGTTTCAGACCATCCAAATAGGAGTAGGATTTCGCTAAGCAAACTTGCATGAAAACCATTAAAGTACAAGTCAGTAATGTCTTACCCAAACAAGTAATCCTCACCCAACAAGAAAATAAATCTGGAATCTGGAATATGTATCATTATGTGATTACAGAACTTACTTTGTGCCTACACATGCACTCAGTACTCTAATGTGAGTCGGAAGTATCTTTTGGTCTGGGGTGTCAAGAGCGTGTGTGTGTCTTTGTGCTCCTATTTGTTTTGATGGGGGCCTGGATCAATTGTGTCTTTGGCTCGAGAGGGAGATAGAAAAAAAGAGAAAAAGAAAACAACAGACAAAAAAATAGAAGGAGATGTGGGTCTAGGCGACTTCCAGGCATTGTGCGAGTAACGGAAGAGGGGGGCGGCCGAGGAAAAGTGAGAACATTACTGAAGGAGGTTCACCAATTAGCGGAAACTGTACAGTCTGTCGGACTGGCAGCAGCACCACTTTTATCCCCAGCTTCGTGTCTCGCCTAGCGTCCTGCAGCACACCCTGGGTGGGGTGAATCTCTACTGTACGTTATTCTACTGTAGATCAACAGCTTAAGACAATCTTATATAGTCACATGCACTCTGAGACTAAAGCATGTCAGTTGTTCTATTGTTAGTGCGGTATTTTCCCCCAAGATATATTTAGGTCATCTAGTTTTGAGACCAAAAGAATTTTCAGTCGATTCTCCCCATATTCTAATACATGGTGTGTTTTTATCAAATCTATTTTGCAATGTTGAGAATTGCTAAAAATGTTTTTGTTTAAAGCTATTTTAGTGTTTGTAAAAAAATGCAACACATGAATTGTATTATTCCATCTGGGTTTATTTAAGTTATCTAGTCAAGTCTAGTCTGTTGTGTGCTTGAGAAAATGTCCCCCTAATGTGCAGTCAGCAAATAATGACCCAGATATGAGCACTGCAAAGCAATTAACTATGTTAATGCTGCTATGTTCTCGCTGTTTAACTGCTTTTTGTCTGCATGACCACTGCAGGTACTGATCATGCAATATAATACCTTTCTATCGCTTGTCCTAGCACAAAAAACAAGAAGTAACAAAGAGTGCAAGGCTGTGAACATACAAAAATGACAAAATATTAGTTATTTTTAAACTATTTTTAAGTCCTTTCTATAATATCACTGCACGATTCCACTATTGCAGCTGTTGAAACAATAACTGGTGGTGATAAACTGCTTCTTCCTGTCGAAGCTGAGTGTTTTAGACATATAAGGACATACACCGGGGCTATCCGGTGGGGAACGGTGGGGGATTGAGGGAGGTGGGGGTTGTTTGTCCTCTTTAGGAAGGTAGTAGGAGGCAGAAACATGGAAAAAAGTAGACAAAGAAAACAATAAAGAAATACTGAAAAGGAGCTTCCTCTGCGGACGTAGAGGGGAATATGTGAGCACTTTATGTTGATGAGTCTGTGTGTGTGTGTGTGTGTGTGTGTGTGTGTGTGTGTGTGTGTGTGTGTGTGTGTCTTGGAAAGTGAGAAAAGACCATGAGGAAAGCCATGAATCAACCAAGAGTCACTGTCATTCTGAAAGTGGCAGGAAATCTGAAAGAAAGTTGCTAGATGTGGTTACTATTCAAGCCTTCTGACCCCATAATGAAATCATTAATCAGTCTAAAGGCTTTTTGTTATACTCCCTCCTGCAAAACATGGTGATGATATTTCAGGTCCATGTTACCTTTCATAACCAACATAGCATTATTAATAGAAGCTAATGCCATGCAAAGCAGCCTTTTATCGGAAATGGATCTGAAGAAAAATCCCTGCTAACAACAATAGCCTATTCACACGCCTGTCAACAGCCACACAAATCGAGGGCAGAGTTTAAGCATGTGATGAAAACCTTCTTCTGTGATATTGATTCATCCGGTCTGAGAAAATCACTGTGGGCTATAAGTGGTCAAGTAAAGAACTGATGAACCTGTTATCTGTGAATATGATTCACTAATAGACACTTTGAAAGAATGTAAGAATCACTACATAATTTCTTAAGAATAAACCAAATTAAGCATGAAGTTGTTTTAAATGCTGTTTTTCATGTTATGTCTTTGGAAAATATGTATTAAGACAATTGAACTATGTGTCTGTGTCCTAAAGCTGGGCGATATGGCAACAATTTAACATCACGATTCTTGAAGATGTTCATGATACATGATAGCAGTATTTAGTTTTTCTTATGTTTGTGTGCAGAAAACCATACTCTACCTTTTTATCCAGTGCTTTCAAAAATATACTATAAAAAAGAAATTGGTAAAAATATATTCATAAAATAAAATGATGCCATAATGCACTGACATCCAAATACCTTTTGTTACCATGCAATTTGTGCAGTAACTGTAGTGGTTGTTGTTGTTTACAGGCTCTCTATAATTGGTCTAAATCTGATTTATGATAAATGCAGTTATTCAGTATTCTAAAATAACTGACAATAAATAACATATCATCTCATAATTTATCATCATGTGAAAACATGTTGTCATATTGCATCTCTTGTCAAAAAGTATGGCTATTCAGACTATAGGCCTATTTTCCATTATAATTCTATGCATTTGTTAATTGTTTATATGACAACTGTTAATATGCATTACTTTATAATACAAGTTTCAAAAGCATAAAGACACGTGCTGATTAAGTATTACCTGTTCATTGATGCTTGAAGATAACTTCTAGTTTCCCAGGAATTATCCTTGACATTTCCCCTTAGAGTCAACTTCTACTTGACACTTCCCCTTAACAGTCCCTTTACTTCCACGAATCCTTCGAGGGCCTATTCTGAGAAAAGCTTATGGAAGAGCCAAAGCTGTGCTCCCACAGGAGAATACCTGGAAGACACAGGTAACACCTGGGACTACACTGATATTTATCCATGTCTCCAAGCTGTGAAGCATAATATAAGAAGTTGTTAATGAAACCACATGCAAATGTGGGTTGAGGCTGATTTAAATAAAAGTGTCTGAATAAGATCAAACATTAGACGAACCTTTCCTCCGCACTTGTGGTGCATTCCATTAATCTGTCACATGATCCACTTCCGCTGCAGTACTATAATGAGATAACAGTTCCCTGGCTGAGTCCTCAGGTCAACATCAGTGTCCCCTAAGGGGTGTAACGTGATCTGTCTGGCTGTTGAAATCATGAAATAAATTCCCATAAGGAGAGAGAGGTGTGAATATTTGATTAGACTCTGGAGGACTTGGTGTAGTTAGCTATTGTACTAACTGGCAAATAATGGTGGTGTGAAAGCCAACTGGCTGGCATGAAAAGCTGAGTGACAGCAGTGGTTTCATTGCCTGCGTTGAGGTTCTGGGTCAGCCTGGGTCAGTTCACAGTGTGGTATTCGCAAAGCATCTATATTCAAGAGTGCTGTTTCTGGACCAGTATATTTTGACCACATAGTGATATAGGTCTGTAGGGAGTGCAGCAAATATGATCCTGCAACTGGTGATCTATTTTAAGATGATTTGTGAATACCACTAGAGTTGGTCCCTTCAAGCTGGTCCACTTCATACCACGTCTAGCAGGTCAGTCTGATTCCACCAACTAAACCAAACAAATGTATACTTATCACAGAGGTCTATAGAGTGTAATTTGTTGTGAGTGCACAAATATGGGCACATTATGACTGAAGTAAAAGATTCAAGAAATCATTCTTATAAGAGAAAACAAGACATTTTCATTTTTCAAAATTGCAAGGCCAAACGTAGCAAGGACTTACGTGTCTTTACTTCTCTTTACTGCCGTTTATTTAGTGTATTTACAGCTCACGCTGCCTCTGTACAAAGTAAGGCTTAGGGATTAGGTCGCCATGGGTGACAGGGTTTTTTTCTTTCCCTTTTTTCCCTTTTTTCTGTAGATAAGGATATGCACCATCTGTCATTCCAATATGGGACACTGGCTGGCCAGCACAACGCGCCCCCCCCAACACCCCACACCCCTAACGTCACGCGTTCAGATCGCTTCCCAGCGTATTTTTCCCCACCCGTATTTCGACAAGCCCCGCCTCCTGCGCTCGGATTGGCTGGCAGCATTCCTCAAGCTGCGCTAGGATTGGCTAAGTAGTTCATTCTCATAAAGATTCCGTCGACGTTAAAAATGAGTGACCAATCCTGGCTGGGGAGGTGGGGCTTATCGCAATACGGGTGGGGAAAGACGCGGCTTCTCCTGGGCCTGTGGCGCACACACACGCAGGATCCACGAAAAAAAGTAGGTTACAGGAATGCATCCGCTGCTGGAATAGACAGTAGCCTACTTCACATTGTTATGAAAAGTTTATATACGTAACCGTGAAGTCGTGGCGAAGTAATGCAGGCCAGTTCAGCGCTCTTTGGTGCAACAACAAGAAGTGGGGATGGTGCTAGCTGTAACGTTAACGTCCGCTATCTAGTACGTCGAGCTGGACAGTTAGCCTGGGCACCAAACAGCCAAACACTGTAGCTTTAACGGTTTGAGCACACTGCTACTCCATGGCTGTTCAGCAGTAACGTTAGGATGGGAGTTTCAGTGACGGAGTTCAGTTTAAATCCGTTTGGTTGTATACCGTGAAGCTGAAGTTGGGCTTCCTATTCGCGTCTTGTTCGGATTTCCCCGTTCCACCTTAAACGCCTCAGGCGCCAGAACGTAACTGCTGCTCCATTTAAGGTGGAACGGGACCATTCCAATAAGAGGCTGACTTCAGCTTCGTGTGTGACACGATGTCTGGAGCTGTTAGACTTTAGGCTAACGTTACTCGCCTGGCATGGTCACCAGATTTAGGGTTTTTATCCCATACTCCAACACGGGGCGAGCAGGCTGCAGACTCGTTACTGAATTTTGAGCAGCAGCCGAAGCTGAACTGTGTGTTTGGTTCCGCAGATGAGATGAGAGGCGAGTCAGGCCGGCTGTAGACGGAGTGGATTAGCCAGCGTTTCGAGGAGGTAACGTTACGGAAATCAGTAAATGTTCCATTGTTCCAGTTTTCCCGCAGAGTCACAGCCCTACTGGAGGTACAGGGGGTTAGTGTAGTGTGGAGCGGGCTGCGTCGCTTTGGTGCCGAGATTTAACAGTTCACTTGGTCATTGGCTAAACAAGTTATCGTTCAGTTGCCACAGCGGTAGCATTCACTCACTCCCTCACTCACTCACTCCTACCCATAAACGACAGGGGTATAGCTGCACTCCCATTCAGCGTGTTGTTTTCTGGTTAAAGTCTCGTTAAACAGTGAATTTAGGAATGAATTAAGCCAAAAATCTCGTTATTTGGCTTATTGGAGTGCGTGTTTTTCGGCCCGACGCTCCTCGGGTTTGATTAGGGCTCACATACCAGCCCAGTCGGCCTAGTGACGGTGAAGCTCCTCACAAACTTACAGACGCTTGTTTGGCTGCAGCCCAGTGTAGCGAGAGGACAGCTTTCTTTACCTTACAGCCTAGTTGTTGTTTGACTAGTCGTGAAATACATTAAGAGGGCGAATCCGCTTATTTCTCTAAATTTCTGCATTAAAATGTTCAAGATGTCAGCAAAGTCATTCAGAGTGGTTAGATGTGAAACCCTTATTTCCAAAGTCAGAGCTGTTCACAGTGGTGGTGATGGGAACCAGACGCTGCCAAAAACATTGTTTTACAATAGTTTTGAGATAAGGTTTTGGCCTTAACATGTTTTTAAATACACTGATGGCAGAGAGACACTGGGCATTGTTTGAAAAAAATAAAAATAAATATTCCCCCAAGATTTTTTACAAAAGATTTTCCACTATTTTATCCTTATCAACTTTACATATTAAATCTTTGACACGTGTAGGTTCACTGGTGGTTTTGTGTTGTAAATAAAATGGTTACATTTGCGTTGTAGACATCACAATCTGTGGTTCCTGTCACCACTAATCTTAGAAATCCATATTGATTAATTTCTCTACAGTTATCATTTCACATCAAACTGAATGGCTTTGTTTACATCTCATCGATTGAATTATTCATTTTGAAAACTTGATGTAATTTCCTTTTAAACTTTACAGGTGTTATGTAGGTATATCCGTTGCTCATGGGCATTATATATGTGATATAATAACTGTAAAATAGTGGTATCCCTGTTTCCAAGCAAGTTTTTATTTTTTTATTCTATTTTGTGTATCTTTGTTATTTTGTGTGCTTTCAGCATGTGTTAACGTTAACAATGCAGACTTAAATATAGTTTGATAATGATTGATTCTGAAAATACTGCAGTACTGAATGTTATTGATATTGTTCAGCTCTAATCTGTTGTTGTGTCAAGTTTAGGCTATGTTTTCCTGATGAACCCTTCCCCCCCTTGAAGGCAGCTTTGTAAATGAAAAAGAACCTTCCAGTATTTTGTATTTGACTGGCCATTGTGAAGTGGACATTGTTGTGCTTGTCCAGATGGGTCAACAAAATTGATAATTGCACAACATTTCCTATCTCATTCTCATGTAGAGGTTTGAACACAAAGGGTCATGTCTAAATATTAAAGACAATGGCCATTGTGCCAATGGGGGGATCAGGAGGAACTTCGCACCTGTGGGAATTTTGTGTGTGCGTGTATGTGTGGGAGGCTGTTTGCTCGAGGACCCCTGGAATTCCCCTCTTGGTTAGGAATGGTTCCCTTTTCCTGCTTTTTAACTCAGAGCCTGTTGTTGTAGCAACTGTAAGTTGCCATAGGAAACCCACAGCAGAGCATCCTCTAGTTTCCCTTGGTAACCATCTGCACACACATACACAGCATAAGACCTCGATGACAGATGCGTTTGTCGGTGAGATTGGCTGTAGTGGTGTGCTTCTTTTTGGTTGATGTTCAGTTAGTGAGCGTTTATTAAATGACCCTGGGGATTTCCATTAATGGTCCTGGCCATTTCCTCATATGGTCCTGCATGTCCACTTTTTCTGGCCTAAGGTTTGAATGCTGAATGTAGTCGTGCACCAGAGTGGCTTTGTTGTCAAATACACAGCACATGGGTGTTTGGTTGCATCTGATTTGTGTAACTTACAGGCAGTTCACAGGCTCCGTGTTATTGGCTTAAAATTCTCCATTTAAATGTTTTTTAGATAATGCTGTTAATTATGTCATCTATAATTAAAATTGCAGCTCTTGCGATAAAAACACACTCTTAAATTGTGATTTCAAAAAAAGATTAAAAGATTAAATGTGCAGCCCTGTTTGATCTAACAGTCAAATGTTTATGTGAAACACACTTTTATGTGAGTAAAGAGTGGTCTTGTGCTCATATATATATATATTGTTGAGAGAGTTCACCTTCAGATGAACACTCCAGCATTTTCTATATATTATATTATATATATATATATATATATATATATATATATATTATATATATATATATATAATGCCATATCTGTAGTGTACAGCTGATTACTATGGACAGTCATTTCAACCTTTCATTATACATGACAAAACAGACCTGTTAATTTAAAATATATTTTTAATAGATTAGTAGCTTTGATCTGTTATAGTAAATAGGGTTTCTGTTCTTTCCTAAGTACAGGATATTTATTGTCTGTGCTAATCAAGTTCATACTACAAATGCTGTTGATACAGATAAGGTTGAAAAATGCTAGTTCAAAATACTGACAAAGGTTCATTTTTATATTCCTAACAAAAACTATTTGCTCTGCCAACAGAAGTCCGTTATGTCCGGCCCCACCTGGCTGCCTCCGAGGACTCTGGGTAGTCCAGAGCGACCTGCAGCACAGATGTCACATGCTGGACCTGCCTACTACAGACCGCCCAAAAAGGGTCCTTCTGACCAGAGGCCCAGATATGGTGTTTATGACCAAAATGGAGCAGCAGTCGGACATGGTGTACCAACAAGGTACATGGCCACTGGACCCTCAGGTGAGAATTTCTTTTAAGCCCCAAAAAACAACAAATCCACATACAATAACTTTATAAACTGCTGTCGGGGAGTCACTTTCTGTATTTTTTACATTCATCAATGTTGTTCCCATGTTAAAGAACACATTTGAGGAAGATTGACTGTAACATCAAATAAGAACCAGTGTTAAAGATGATGAAACTTATTTTCAAAAATAATTGTTTTGTTTAGGTTTGAATTTCATGTTACAGTCAAACTTTCTCTAGTTTATCAAATAGAGCAACAGCTCAAACTGTATAAAACCTAAACATTTGGATTTACAGTGCAGTAAACAGAAAGATGGCGATAATAGTCAATCTTTTGGTAATCTTATTGCAAGATGTCCCTCTTTCACAGACTGCACGTTTTCATTGTTTTTAATAGAATTATTTTAATTTGACAGAATTCAAACTTATAAAGTTACAGTGTTTCTTCATGTACTGGATCTGTTTTGTCCTTTGTTTCCTCTATTTGTAGAATGTCTGCCTAAGAGTGAGTGGTCGTTTGCTAGCTTGCTGTTAATGAGTGATATATTGGAGAATGATTTCTGTGAACTATGAATCATAAACCCAAAGGACCTTCTCACATATTCACACAAAAACACTACTGATGTTAAAGACCCATTTTTCCATAAAAAGATTTGAATCATTCCATGACTGCTTAGCAGAGGGTAGACTGGAATAACAACATACTGTTTGGTTGGATGACAGTGTGGCAGACTTGTGACATTTGTTCCGTCCACACTGATAAGATTATCTTTTTATTTACCATGATTATTTTCAGGGATGTATCAATACCATTTTTAGACTTCATACAAGTAAGAGTACATATTTTTAGCTCTCTGTCCTCTAAAACCAGACATACACTGTGTGATTTTTAGAAATCTTGTTTTTTGGTGACTTCTGCTGCTTGAAAATGCTCCATCCATGCTGTGTGAAACACAGCCTCTAGCCGGCTCTGCCCCTGAACATTTTCACCAGCTGTTTCATTCAAAATAACACACTGCGCCAAGTCCTGAGCAAAACTGATACAGCAGCGCTGCTCACACTGTGCAGTGAAATATACACGATAAGACAGTATGCCCTCTCTAAAAAATCACTGTATTAACCGCACAGTTCTGTTTAGTCAAACACTAAAGTCAGCATTTTGTCTTTGGTACGAAATGTCAATTTTTTTGCCTCATTTATCTGGCCTGTGTTTCCACCTCCTATTGGGGAAGCAGTTGTGATTGTGTGTTTTAAAACAGTCTAAAATCACATAGTATAGATGCGACGGCTTTGTGTCCGACTGTTGCAGAGTCAGTAACACTTCTACATGTGAGCAGTGTCCTTCACTGTGTTCGTTCATTAGTGCAGCAGCTACGCTCAGCTTACATCACTCATCATCAGCAGATATCGCTACTAACATTCTGATGAATTTTTAAGAGTACGAGTAAATGAGCACGGTATCAGCCACATACCTTTCTCTTTGCATCCCTACTTATTTGTATGTGTTTGATTATTTAGGTGGAAGCATGCATCACCAGCATCAGGATGACCTTTCAGGGCCATCCCCCTACCACCCCAAATCAGGAGAGCACTACTATCCTCCAGCAGATGGGCCCAAAGATAACCACCTCTCCTGGAGCCCACACATGGCCAGCTACGATCACCATGTAAGTCAACCAAATCTGCCTTCTGTAACCTGTAGAATTGTAATGTTAACGTATTCCTTTTTGAAGAGTCTCATTGCAGTAATAGCCTCAATTTCTTTAAAAAAAAGTTTGCTTCTAGGTTGATAATTAGTAGTGGAATTTAGGCTTGGAATAATATATAAATACATGAACGCTCAGTTGTGTTGTTCTTGTGAGTTCTCAAAGATGTGTCCATGTCAAAGGGAAGAAAAAATGTTTTTTCTTTCACTTCATGTTAAACTGATAAACCGCAGAAGAAGCAGGCCCAGACGTTTGCATGGCCCCTATAAACATTTTTTATGTACTGATGGTAAAAAGTCATTTAAAAAAATGTTATTATTATTATTATTCTTGTGTGTCCTGCTGAGGTCAGTTCATGTTCTAGTCACTAAGAAACTAAATAGAAACCTATTTGGTGCCTGAACTGTAAACCAGGTTAATGAATCCATATGTTTTGTAATTCTGTTATTCTCAGGCTCGAGGCTCTGATAAGCACCTCTCTAGTATTGATGCAGAGATAGACTCCCTCACCTGCATGCTGGCTGACCTGGACAGCCACCCTCCAAATTCAAGCACACAGGTACCATCTCTGTCATCTCTTTCTTCAGTATGAACCTTACTACCCTACAGCTTACAGGGCAAAAAAATGAAATCAAGATAGTTTGACATGACTATAATTCGTCTAGTTCCACCCACAGTCTGCTAAACCTGCTCCAGCTAATGAACTTCCAAAATTATTCTGTTTACATAGAATTCCAAGATTCTTAAGACAACTTTAAGATTTTAAGGCTTTCAGGATGTAAAGATTTTCTAGAGGGAATGTTTCTGAGGTATGTTCATGCTAACTTTCTCACCCACAGCTATACGATAACGTGCCTTACAACAAGCACCTCCCCAGTGACCGCTACAAACCCTCTGGCCAGACGGGGGTACCGTCCCAGGCTAGACCCTCCATGGGCTACCCTCCTCATTCTCAGAGTCAGTACCATTCCTCTCCTCCTTACACCTCCACTCCGCAGCCTGAGTACGCCTATCCGTCCCCTTCTTCCTCCGCCCACAAACCGTACCCCCAGCCAGTACCTGCCTCCTACACCACTGCCTCCACTCCCACCGGGCCGCGCTTCAGCGTGCAGGTTAAAACTGCCCAGCCTGTTACCTACTCTCAGAGCGGACGGCAGGCAGAGCAAGCCTATACTCCACCCCCTCCCCGCCAGCATGCTTCTCGCCCTGCTCAACAAGACCGCCCTCATTACCCTGAAGTGGCAGGGCAGGGACAGGGCTGGTACCCACCACCGCCCCCTCCAGCCCAGGAGGCTCATGGTGACCCGGCAGCATATAAGGGGGGATCAGGTCAAGTTCAAGCACCGATCAGGGTGCAGGGACCGCCAGGAAAAAAAGGACAAGAACAGGGGTCAGCATACCAGCCTAGCAAGGTAATTTTCCTCTTAAGGTGTAGTAAGTAATTATGGCTATTATGGCAATCTCAGCACACAATTATACATGAATGTTGATGTTTTAATTTTCTAAAACCATGGGTATTTAACAGTATCATCCAGTTTTATTCAGTATGTCCAGTACAGTTTCCATTTGCACCAGAGGACTGAGACAAAGCCCAAGGCTTTTTTACAGTGTCCAAAAGCATGTTAAAACAAATTTTTAAAATGTATGTTTTAACTCTCCCCTCCTTTTAAACCACTAACTGAACTAGTGCATCCAATTCCACACCAGCACATAGAGCGTTGCTGCAGAGCTCCTCTATGAATCAATGATGAAGTTTTATAGCAGAATAGGAGCAGGGGAAATCACTAAAATGTGCAGGACAGGGGTACTCCAGGACCAAGGTTGGGAGCCACTGCCGTTGTTTCTTAGTTGCCATTATTGGGTAGTATTTGTGGTACAATGCATTTAGGAAACAAGGGCCTGTATTCACCTCAGAAGTGGGAGTGTTGATCTGGGACAGCAGTTCCCAAGCTGGTCCTCAGGGCTTCCCAGGCGGTAGAAATTATTTTTGTGACCATATTTGTCAAGGGAATCTGATCTGAGATCTGGGCCCATATTCACAAAAGTCAGATGAGGCATGTCCATCTAGGATCTGTTTCTATCCATAAGGTCATCTTAAATAAGACAAGAAACTGATCCTAAATCTGCACTCTTACTTTAAGAAGCTTTGTGAATATGGGGCCAGGCCTCTAACTCAGGAATCTGAGCCAGCCCACAGTCATATTTGCTTTGTGTAAGCTCACTGCTGATTTTTGCCATGTTGTACCACCAGGGGCCAGTGCCGAGACCAGAGGAGGAGTTGGATCGACTCACTAAGAAGTTGGTGTATGACATGAATCATCCCCCCACAGAAGAATACTTTGGTATGATTTTGTCTTTCGCACCCTAAAAAAATACAATGAAGTGTTGCTTTAGTCATAAACCTAAAAGGTGAAACTTATTTCCTGTAACTCTCTTCAGCAGCCAGATGGCACTGAGAGTTTTTATTATTGATTTCTTATTCATTTGTTCGTCTCTCTCTTTCTCTTTCTCTCAGGACGCTGTGCAAGATGTGGGGATAATGTGCTAGGTGATGGCAGTGGCTGTATTGCTATGGAGCAAGTATTCCATGTGGAGTGTTTTACGTGCATCACCTGCCATGCTCGCCTTAGAGGCCAGCCTTTCTATGCACTGGACAAAAAAAGCTACTGTGAGAGCTGTTACATTGTGAGTTTTTACTTTTCACCCTCCTGTATTCTTTAATTTGTCTTTTTTCACTCTTCTCAGCTTTTACTGCTTTTTAATCAGTTTTATTTTATTTTATGACCCTAGTTTCCTTTTTCTTAAAGACTGTCTCAATTCACTCACTAGTTGCACATGTAGTGAAACGGTACAAAAATGTGAATTTGGGCACTGGAAAAATCCCTAATACCAGGGAACATTGAGATACTGTCGATTCAGTTAGGTCTGATGCAGATGCGTTGTGATGTAGTGTCAACGGCACTGTCTGTACAGCTTACCTCTTATGTGCTTGGCCATATTATATTTTTTGGGCCGAGATGTTCGTCATTTCATAAACCTTTTCAGTTATGCTTAGATGGAGATAAAGCCATGTGCCAGTCACACATTTCATTACACAGCAACGTTCAATGCAATTTAACTTCTTAAGTAGCCTTTCTTTATTCGGTTAATGCTACTAGCGTAATGCTCATTTCTGGTAGTGCTACTAAAGGGGTATTTAGTGTTTTGTTTGTGCCAAACTAACATTTGTGCACCTAAGTATTTCATGGCAACTGTAGCTAAAACACAGTCAAATGATACATGATTAGACATTCAGGCAACACATCTTACTTTGTGTTACTGTAGTTTTACAGTGAAACTTTTAAACTTAAAACCTGTTATTGAATATTTATGAAGAAGCCTTGTAACTTGTTAGCTTTGCTTACTTTAATGTCATGATTTGTTCTAGATTGTTCTGTTTGTCAGCAAAAATGGTACACATTAACATTTAAGCATAAAAGTCAAACATAAGTAGAACTGGTTAAGTAGCTAACAGGGTGCTATGAATGTTTCAGTTAACATGACAAGTAAGTGTTTAACCTTTATTCTTGGTAAGGGTTTTTTTTTCTTTCTTCATTTGTCCATTTTAAAACCTACCTACCTTTGGTCAGGGATTTTTATAGTGCATATAATTTTGGCAATGAAACCCTAGAAAATGGCTGTTTCCCTGACCAGAACCTTAACTACTGAATTAGAGACACACACTTTCGCTGTGCACTGTTTCTTGTGTTTCCTGATGATTCTGTATTTCTCAAAAAAATCTTCTGTTGAATTTCACTATTGCAGTTCTCTGTTAGATTTTTTTTTGTCTAAGGGATAACACAGAGAAAGAGCCAAGAAATTCTTTCTCAGTGTAGATTCTGTTTTTGTCTTCTGTCTCCATGTCTTGTTTCTGTGGCTCCAGAGCACACTGGAGCGCTGCTCAAAGTGCTCCAGCCCGATCCTGGACCGCATCCTGCGGGCAATGGGTAAAGCCTACCATCCACGCTGCTTCACCTGTGTGGTATGTGGCTGCTGCTTGGACGGGGTGCCCTTCACCGTGGATGCTGCCTCCCAAATCCACTGCATCGAGGACTTCCACAGGTAACTGAACTAGTGTTGATCTGTGAATGAGTGTTATGATCATTACATGCGTGTCTTTGTAAAAACCATCCTGTGAATCTCTGTGCCATCCTCGGCCCTTATCTACATGCAAGAATAGTTAAAGTGTTCTCAGCTCATCTAGTGTCTGGAGACTTGGGACCACCTTGTGTAGCTTTTTCCTGCTGTATGCATGTAACACAGCTATTTGCACCAGGAAAGCAGACCTTCAGGTGTTAACTTTCTCCCAAACATTAGTTAATTGCAAGGTGTGCATAGGTGTACAAAAAAAGCAATGTAGATACCTGTTTTGTGTGCAGGAAGTTTGCCCCGCGCTGCTCTGTGTGCGGCCAGCCCATAATGCCTGAGCCAGGCCAGGAGGAGACTGTGAGGATTGTGGCTCTGGACCGCAGTTTCCACGTCAACTGCTATGTGTGTGAGGTAAGGACCCCTGAACTGCTGTTGTAGTTATCAGTAAGTTTAATTATTAATTACTTGCTGTTTCAGGCATGTAAAAAAAAATAAAGGTTGAACATATAGGAGAAGAAAGCAATGAAGAAGAAAGTCTTGCATTGCATTGTAAAGAATAGATTGAAGAAAAGTTGGATGTTGTCGTAAAAGGCTGAGTTATATTTCTACAAAGAAGTATACTACTCCATTTTGATTTGGAACTAGTTCTGGTGGGGACGAGTATTATTTGGGTTTCATCTCACCCCCCAACGCTACTGGACAGCCAGTCAGCGTTTACCTGACTCATAGCAAAATAGATTCATGCAACACATAGTTGAGATTTTGGTAGTGCTCACTTCATATTCTCTGTGAACTTTTGCGAGCTTTTCCCCCTAAATGTTTACTTATGATGTGGTTTTATGTTCCAAAACCAGTCATAGTTTGTTTTTACTTGACCATTTCCCAACCTTCTTTATTTCTTAGAATTAAACAGGCTGGTTTTGTTGCTGTGCCTTAAAGACTAATAAATGTAAACAACATTTCTTCCAATTGGTTGCCCTGTGTTGTACTGTGTTCAAAAATCAGTCTTGTTGGAATACTCCCTAAGTTCAATGTGAAGGGGCGGGTCTAAACTGCTGTAGGTCGAATAGGAGGATGTATGTAAATGTGTTTTGTTTGTGTAATTTAGTTTCCATATGTGGAACACACAGTGAATTGTACACGTTTAACAACATACTCTATACTAAATCAAACTATTTTATTATTATTATTTTTTTTTTTTTTTAATGAGGGGAAAAATAAGTTTTCCATGATATGGGCCCTTTAAAAACTACTAAGCAATAATTAATATAAACGCTGCACTTAGGATGGGCATCTAAAAGTAGCTTATCATGCTCAAACTGCGCAAACACTTTAATAGCTCACAGGAAGAAGTGCCAAGCTAACATCACCTCATTGTGCAGTGTGAGGGTGCAGTGTTTCAGACTAGATTAGGTACAGGATTTAATCAAATTCATTTGTTTTTTAGCATTTTAGCATTTTATGCTAATACCGGTCTGATACTGATACCCATCAATTCTGATGTGCTTACCCATGAACTCCTTCATAGGTTTATGTGCCTTTATGTAGATCTGCCTTTAGTATACATGTGTGCATGCTTTCTGCCTATTTTTCAACAGCCACTCAGCTTACTACCGACATTTCTTTGTATCAGTATTGTTGCTGTTTCTATTAGCTTAGTAGGTTGGTCTTTTTTTTAAGCTTCGTCACCGATCATGTTTACTTGAATACTGTAAACAATAATAATAATAAAAATAATGAAAATAATAAAGGCTGTGATTTATGTACTTGAAGACTACATGCCATTAATTTATGTATTTTGTGATTGTTCAATGAATGTGATTTCTGTTTTTGCTGAATTAAGTCATGTCATAAATTGCATAATTTCACTGCTATTGGCTACTAAAATGATGGTATGTGTGATCATGTGCATGTGGGATCAAAGCTGTGTGTGTGACTGTTGCAGGAGTGTGGGTTGCTTCTCTCGTCTGAAGGAGAGGGCAGAGGCTGCTATCCTCTGGATGGTCACATTCTGTGCAAGAGCTGCAGTGCCCGACGAATCCAAGACCTCTCCGCCAAAATCTCTACCGACTGCTAACAACTCCTGTCATCTTTTCTCTTTTCCTCTCTATCTTACCACTCTGGTATTTGATGTTGTCTGTGAGGGTTATTCTTAGAGACAGTTCACCATTTTCAAATTCCTACTCCTGTTTCACCCCTTTATATTAGCAGAAAGCAGGTAATTGAATAACCTCATGTAACAAATAGCTGAATTCCACATACTCAGGGTTTACAGTTCAAGTCGTGAATAAGAATGAAGTTCGAGTCCTTTACATGGGCCATTTTAATGAAACGGATGGCGAGTTTACAGTGGAGATAAATATTGACTTTCTATATCCCCGTGTGTGTGTGTGTGTGTTCGTTCATTCGTTCATATGTTTGCTCACTTCTCTGAACAGGGTTAGGGTTTGATCAGGGTACCTTTTTACTTAATAGTAAGGAATCACTGCCGCTGAGAATCTGCTTTATTGATTATCTTCAGTAATCCAAAAATTTTTAGTCACTCAAACAGCAGTCGTGATAAGGAGATTTACTTTGCTGACTTTATTCTGCATATCGCTCTTGTTGGAACAAAACCTTGTATCTCCAAAATGATGACTTTACAGGAGAAGGAAACATCTTTACTTTCAGTGTAAGTCAGTCGAACCAGACATTTGTCATTTTTGGACATTTCTTTTGGTCCATTCATCATGAAATTTATACACAATGTAAAGAGCAACAGGCATTTTCAAATTATGTCAAAAACTAAAAAATGCCAAAAATGGAGATATGAGGTTTTGTCCTGACAGCGGTGATATCCTCTAGTTCAAAACTTTGTCTGTACTGTGTGGAAGTCCCTTTTCTGTAACCAGGAGGAGTCACACAGCAAAAATACTTGAGCGACATCTTAAACGATTTTTAATATAGCTAATTTGTCTAATACGTCTCAGTATGAGGTCATTGTGAGGATAGTACAAATTACTCATCCTGTGTCTTTTTACTAGATGTTTTACTTTTACAAAGTGATTTGGTGAAATTGTCTTGATGCACTGGCAGATGATTTTACGTCTTCAAGTATTATTCCATGACACAAGCAAAACTAGTGCAGTTATCAGTGTAAACTTGCATACAATAAGCTAAAATTTCTTGAAATTTGGGTTGTTTAATGATATCAGAATGATGTGGGCAGATAATCGCAAAAAAAATTAACAATGGACCAATGTTTAGATTTTTTCCCATATTTCGAACAGATATTTGACAATATATTTATTGCATTCTAAGACAGCAGAATGTTTGGGCCATGCTGGGCTGTTTTGTGCAGAAATATCTACATTTTATTCATTTTACTGCATTTGTAACCCTCTACAAATAGTTGTATGCAAAAGTTTAGTCACCCCACATCAAATTACATTTTTTTATAAGTGAAAATAAGTCAACACATCCTCCACCTTTGCACATTTTAATTCTTTTTAAGCACAGTTAAGCTGCTGCATTTAACATACTGGAGATTGGGGGGGGGGCATAAAATGTGGCCTGTGCAAAAGTTATGGCACATTTTGTAATTTACCAGCTCTGAATGTTGCATACAACTGTAAATATTACATTTCTCCATCCTAATTTGTTGATCCTAATTTGATTTTCTTCGTTATAAATGCTAAGTGTTAATGTTAAACAGCATTGCTATTGACATGTACATCCAATCAGCATAAGCCCAAAATTTTCCTGTCAGTGCATCCCTACTAGAAATAGGTTGGGTAATCTTGCAGTATTCTCACGACAAAGCAAAAAAAATTACAAGGTGCTTACATTTAAGATGTTTTTGCTCACCAAGAGAACTTTTTGCAGTACATTTGATGTTTTGCTCATCCAGTTTAAAAGGTCCTTTAGCCTCAGTGCTCTGTATAGAGTGTCTGTTACTATTAAACACTAACCTCAGCAGCTTCAGCAGGAAGTGTTAAACATTATCAGTGAACAATATTTTTAACACTTGAATTGGTCATTATCCTGTGTTTAATACCTAAGATTTAACTTTGAATCATGATGGCATTGATGGTGACGAATACAATGCCAGCCTTTTGGACATATATATAAAATGATGCTGCAATCTCTGTAGCCGGCTGAAACGAGGTGGATTTGCTCTTTATCTGTATGTTTGTTTTGGAGCTAGTTTTTCCTCCCCAAACCTTTACCATCTCAGATCAGCATCAGAGGGAACCATGTTCCAACACAGCTAAATGAAGGAACTTTGTTGAGTGTTACTTGTGATTCGTGTATGGAGTGCAGTGAGAAGATGACTTGCTTGTGCTCTGTTAGATCATGCAGGTTGATTACTGTGAAGTAGTAACTTCTATGAGGGAAAAGTTGCTGTAAATCATGGGTGGGAAACTGAGGGTTCATGTCCAACACAGAGTTTCCTGCTCAGGTGTGTTTGAGCAGGAAAGTCACCAAACTGTGCAGGAATCTGGCCCTCCAGAACTGGAGTTCCCCACCCCTGCTGCAAATGGACTCAGTGGAGCAGTGAAAAGATTTGTAGTGAAGTGTGTAGTGAGGGAAAGCTATTTAGTGAGTGAAACAACACTCAGATAAATGATCTTTAGTTCGGTGCCTCTTGAATGTGAGGTTGACGTATTGTAGCAGTCAGGGCAGATGAAATTCGAGCTTGCTTTTTGGAATCTTTGGTAAAGCAGATTTCTATAAAACATTGAGCATACTGAATATATAATGCATGAATAATTTTACATCCAGAAGGTCATTTAACAGTTGGTATTGTCACGAGTGCCATGGGGGATGCTGTGGCTGAATATCATGATGTTCTGGGCTGTCAGTGTGCCATCCTTATTTTATTTTTGTATGGTTTTTTGTTTTGTTTTCATTTTTGTGTTTTATTTTTTTGCATTTCAGTTTTTGCCACATAGAGAAAGAAGGTATTTGATGATTCATTCACTTTACTATTCATTACTAGTTGGGCTTTTCTTTACTGGTTTAACTGTTAGATGAAGTGTGTTAATTGACTGTGGCGTTTTGGTTTTTGTTTTTTTGCTGTTACATATCAACCTCATTATGCATTGAATAGCTATTCTTGATGTGACAACATATGCAGCTTGTGATGTAATGAGTGATGAATGTTAGGAGTAGTCCATTTATACACACTGATCAAAGTGAACACTAAAAGTACAAAATGACAGTTGCAGTTTTTTTATTTATTGAATTTGAAACATAAACTTTTGTTTGAATGTGCCATCATTGAACTGGATGTCAAACACCCAGATATGTGGTATGTCTTATTTTCCCCACATTGTTTCTATTGTTTCTTTACTTCTTTGCTTTTAATGATGTGTTACTGAGAACCCAGTAACTCCCTCAGGTGTGATTTGAATATTTTTTTTTTGTTTGTTTGTTTTTGTTTTTTTTGTTTGTTTTTTTTTGTGTGTCTCTGGATGTTTTTGCCTTGTTTCTGCCCTCTTGTATTTTATCCCTGCCCACTAATATTAATGAACAAGTGTCCTTGTTGCTGCAGAAGCGTTCACCTTGTGTTTTTGGTTAAATTATGAAGTTGGCACTCTGTAATGATCACTTGGCTGCACACTCATACTTTTTTTTGCTTTTCTCTGATAATTTTAGGAGAAAAATCTCAATTCATAAATCCATCAATTTTTACAGCAAATGATTGTTGTTGATCTTTATTTTGCTCAGCAGTCAAGCATATAAGCCATACACTTTAGGCAAATATTATAGACATAACTATAGCTCTGCTTGAAGGTATTTGATGATCTCTGGATGTAATCAGTTGCGTTGCAGCATTTTAAATTTATTTGTGGCTTAAATTTTAGCTTCTGACTTTTAAACCCAACTTTTAGCTACAAACTAGCAAAATCTGAGAACGGTACTAACATTTTTACATTTATTTAACAGTGTTGCTTTACATCGTGTCTCTAACAAAGACATTCTCAAAGACAACCACAGTTTAAAACGTAGATATGTCAATATCTGGAGGTGTTCAGGGATAAAACAGCAATGTATTATATTCCAAAAAGTAAAATGAATAAATAAAATAAAAGCACAGGTCTACAAAAATAAACCCCATTGGGCATGAGGGTGGAACACCCCACTATACACTACAGCATTAAAGACAGAAGTCCTTTCAAAGTTGTGCTAATGAACTATTTGATGTGAATCCGTGATGGCAGCGGTGGAGCTAGCAGGAGGTGAAGGTCTTCCAGAAGAAATTGCGGCAGCCGGTTTTGCGCTCCCGCTGGGGGAAGGGCAGCTGGCGCACCACGTCGCTCCTCACGTCTGTGCCTGAAAGCACCTCATTATCACCTGGAATCTCCAGATCAGACAGGAGCTTCAGGAGGAGCATGCGGGAAAGCTCCTGTACAAGAAGAGGAAGAAACAGAAGAATATAAGGGGAATATTTGTAATATACTAAAAGTCATAGAAGGGGCTCTGTAGATTGATGTATGTAATCTGCTATTGGTTCCTTAAAGAACCTTTTAATGAATGGTTCTTCAAAGAACCTCCATATAATGTAAATGTTTTTCATACAACTATACATCCAAGCCAAGAACCATTTAGGAACCTTTGTTTTTAAGAGTATATTTTGTTGAGCTGTGGTTTTCACCACAGAACAGCTGACATTTTTTCGAGAATATCTTCACACTCTTGGTTGCCACATTTAGCTGACTGTGGCTCTTTAAATATGTCTTTCTGCAATGAATCTAACATTTTGAAGGCTACACTTGCAAAGTATGATCCTAAAAATGTTCATGTTCTAGATTATTGCTCCCAATCTTGAAAGTGTGTAAGGGAACTAGTAGAAAACTTATCATCAAATATGATGCGGTATTATTTGTGTAGAATTGCTCCAACCTACAGCATGTTGAGTTGAAGAAGAAATGAAAGGGAAAAAAAACAGTAGAATACAACAAAACCTATGCATGTAAATTGTCTGCTCATAAAAAATTAATGTAATTTACATGTAACTTTCCATAAATCACACCTAAAGAAATTGCAGGTTTACATGGGAAATGTTATTTTTATTTTTATTTAATCCATTGAAAAAACATTAACAGTATCTTATGATTCATTCTAAACAAATATTAATAAATATCTTAAATGAATACATTTTAATATTTACATTTATTTACATAAATCTCATTTTGCATTATCAAGTAGTAGCTCTATTTAAATTTAGATGAATGAAGAAATGTAATTTGAATATTTGTATAGCACTTTTTTCAGACAAAGGCCACAACATTAAATAATACACACAGAACTAAAGATATAGTCATTGAAATAAAAAAGCATTAATCAAAGTAATAAAAATGAAAAACATGCACATAAAACATTATCCATGCATGTACACACATAAAATAACATTTTAAAATATGAGAAAAAAAATTACCATTTGGATATTAAAACAATTATGGTAAAAGAATAAACTTATAGGAGCACATTTCTAAACAACCACAAATTCATGCATTGGAAGAAACTCTCACCTCGTTCATTTTGGGGTCTGCCTGCAGCTGGGCCAGTATGTCTCCTCTGGGTGCTGCACTGACCCTACTGACCAACACAAGGACAGACAGAGCCACCACCATGACCTGCAGCTGAGAACACATCTTGCTGTATATCACACACACCAGTATCCTCGGACAGCTGAGAACTGATCACAGTGGACCAAAGACAGCACGAGGCACATTATATACCTGTGTGATAGATGGGGGGTGTTGGGGTCTGTTTGGGGAGGTGTTCTTGGTGGAGAAAGGGCAAGGCATAAGAGGATGGAGGTTGATGGGTGCTTATGAGCGAGTTGGGGGGGGGGCTCAGTGTTTGTGGATGGGAGGTGTATATTTAAGTGATTATGAGTGTGCATCCGTGCATGTGCGTAAGCCGGGTGGGTGTTTGGGTGCGTGTCGGGATGAAAGTCAGGGTGTGTGTGTGTGTTGGTGTCTCAGTGGGGAAAAACTTTGATAAGGTCACACAAAAGTGTCATCTTTGCATTAGAAATCCTATTCTAATGGCTGCTATCAGACAAATGCTAGGGCTGTCACATTCATTCAAACTCAATCACTCGGTTTTAAAAATGACTGCCAAAAAATGTGCCTTCTCAATAAGCTGGCAATGAATAAGAAACAGAGAAACAGAGCCTGATGGACACACAACACACTCATTTATACAAATGGTTGCCCACATTTGCCCAACTTGTTGGCACAGGACCCCCACAGAGCAGGTAATATTTTGGTGGCGGATCATTCTCAGCACTGCAGTAACACTGACTGGTGGTATGTTAACGTGTGCTGTGCTGGTATGAGTGTATATATATATGTATATATATATATATATATATATATATATACACACATACACACATATGTGGTGCTTGAAAGTTTGTGAACCCTCTATTTATGCATAAATTTGACCTAAAAGATAGATAAAGAGAGCCAAATTAAGCAAATTAGACAAAAATATTAGACTTGGTCATTTATTTATAGAGGAAAAAAATACAATATCACATATCTGTGAGTGGTGAAAGTACATGAACCTTTGCTTTCAGTATCTGGTGTGACCCCCTTGTGCAGCAATAACTGCAACGTTTCCAGTAACTGTTGATTAGTCCTGCACATCAGCTTGGTGGAATTTTAGCCCATTCCTCCGAACGAAACAGCTCCAACTCTGTTATATTGGTGAGTTCCCTCCCATAACCTGCTTGCTTCAGGTCCTTCCACAACATTTCTATAGGATTAAGGTCAGGACTTTGACTTGGCCATTCCAAAACATTAACTTCATTCTTCGGTACAACGACTTGTGTGCTTAGGGTTGTTGTCTTGCTGCACTGACAAATCTGATGAAGTTTTAGGTCAAATTTATGCAGAAATAGAGAAAATTCTAAAGGATTCACAAATTTTCAAGCACCACTGTACACACACACACACACACACAGTCTTATGCCAATGCCTGGGTGCCTCTGGTCAAATTAAATGCTGTGAAAAAAAGTTAGCACATCCTCGAGAGAGAACACATTTCTGCACATTTTAATGCACAGTTTTTCTTGATTTGCTGAATGTATATATATTTGCTAAAATATAGCAGAAATGTAACAGAAACTTCCACAGAAGCCTTAAAAACTAAATATCAGTGTGTCTATTAATTGTCTATATTATACCTTACATTTTTTTTTACTTGATTTCAGTTTTTTAAAGAAATCTCAAATTCAGTCTTAGTCACTGTTGTATTTCCTGCTGAGAACGCCAGCAGTTTCTTTGTTGGATTTGCACATTGTCTATTCTCTTTTCCCAATTAGAGCTACACATTCTTTCTCACCCATAGTGTGGAGTTGTCTTCTCACCATGTTAGGACAGATTTTTTGAAAGTCTTCTTTGTTTGTCTGTGTCCAGTTATGTTTTCTGGAAAACTTGAAGGACTAAGTGTGTTTGCATAGTTTGTTATTGTTCAATTGTCATTTCTATTGTTTGGTATTTTTGGTTTTTTTAGCTTTTAAAAAAAAATACTTGAATTATTTTCAAACTAATCATTGGATTACTCAATTTCTGATATACACATGGCAGCCCTACTAAATGCAGGTTCCATACCCTTCAAATACATCATTCTTCATCAGCCATCTTTCTGAAGTGGCCCTTCAAAGCCACTAATAGACAAAAGTGTTCTAAACCTCAGACATGAAACCTTCAGCAGTGGTGCTAATGGCTGCTAAGCAAAGGAGTGCGCTGACGTGCAGCTCCCTTAAGGCCAGAAGTGCGTCACTTGTGATTAAGCGCAAAGTATGTTTGCATGTCTTGCTCTCTGCGTGAGGTCCTTGTTACACAGAGCTGCTAATGACGAGAAGTGACTCAAATGTTAATTGGTCTGCATGCCCACTGCTCCCCCAATAAGGATCCATCCTGTACACTTGCCAGCTGACTGCAAAGACACACGCATGCTGACATATACTGCCCAACACCTATCACGACCTGGTATTTATGGAGTAGAGATACAAACAGAAAGTTATCTGTGGTCTAATACACTCTGCTTGTTCTGTTGCCAGACAGCATCAGCAGGCCACACTTTTCAACTGAATATGGCATAAATATATACATAAATATGCATACTTCAACTATTGAGATGCAAGTAAAGGTATTCAGAGTGGTTTGGTGTGAAATTAATTGTTAATTGTAAATAAAACCTACTGACTGAGATTTCTTTACAATGGTGGTGATAAGGACCAGGATTCACATAGCCAGTGAGCCTAAACTCGTCTTTCGAGTTTTTGTATGTAATTTTGATGATGGTAAAATAAGTTTTCTTTGAGTATTTTGCCTTACAATGCTCAGCACATACCTCCCCACCAAGAAAGGCTTTAAAAATGCGTTCAGGCAAAACCTTACCTCAAAACTATTATGAAAAGATGTCTCAGACATCAGCAATGTATCTGTAACCATTTCACGTAATAACTTTCTGTGATGTAGCTTTTAGAGGCATTAAACACTTCAGACATCTGGTTCCTATCACTACCACTGTGAATAATTCTAACCTGGTATGTTTCTCTAGAATGGAGCATTTCACATCAAACTGCTCTGAATGATGTGGTTTACATTTTAACAATGTGACTAGAGGATTTAATTGTAAATTCCGTTTCTTTTTGCAGTGTTACAGCTTCTATCATACATTTATGTTGGCTTGTGACAAGCAAGGTGGCATTAAAACCCCCTGCCCCCAACCGCCCCGAAACCACCACCTCTGGTTTCCTTGATTACCCTGATTACTCATCCCCTCCTGTCTGGCCATTAACATTTACTAAGACGGCATGTCAAAGGTGTGGGCAACATGCTGGGCCCCGAAATACATAGGATCTCTCCTTTCCACTGCAGTTACACTCATGCCAGTAATAATAAAGATTAGAAATAGAATTTGTATGAAAGGATGTTGACCTTTTTTCACAATGTATACATACAATATGAAAGTACGTACATAAGTGTCTTTTGCCAACTTTTAAAATGGGTTAGTTGATTAGAAAGACAGATAATTCTCTATCACCTTACAGAAACAAGAAGCCAATAAATGCAGTTTTCATCATTGTTAAGTTGATGGTAGGGACAGCTGGAAAATGTCTCTGGGTGGGTAGGATGGTCCTCCTTCTCCCCCCATCATTCAGCACAATGCTACTAGTCAGCGCAGGCATCTGTTGGCTTATGTAACAGAACTGGTGGTTAGCATTCTCCTCCGAGCATGTTCAAGCTGTCCAATGACTTTGTGTTAGCAGCAGTTCAAAAACATGTGGTGGCGCTTCACAGGTCTCAGAAGAAGCTTGTGTTTGCCTTTGCCCTCATAGCACTGATGGCATTGCGAGACTTGGGGACTAACTGACTAAACTGGGGAGTAAATTGGAAAAAATCCAACAAAAAATAACCTGTTCATTTGACCAAAGTAACCAGTCAGATAGCAGGATAGAATTAGATCACAGGATTCACAATTAGGAAACAGCACTGAATTTGCCAAATCAATAGGAGGTTTATAGCCAGTCTGATTTAATTTGCCAATCAGATTTCTAGATTCATTGACCCAGTGCAGCATTCAACTAACTAACCAATAAAAGCAATAAGGGCACAGGATTCACTGGGCTTCATTTACCAATATCCTCCTAAGTTATTTCTTAAATTTGTTATGTGAATCCTGAGAAAAGGTCTTTGTCAGATTCATGACGTGTTCCTAAACCACAAGATTGTCCACGCCTTTGTGCTCTTGACTGTGTGTAGATTCTGTTCTTACCTAAGAACAAATTCCAAATAAGAAAACATTGGTGAATGTCAGAATCTTCCTGAAAACTGCATAAACGGGTTTTAAGACTAAATTTCTTCTTAAGGACGGTTGGTGAATGAGACCCATTCAGTCTGTTCTATGTTATATATTCTATATTTAGTCTATATTTTCTTCTTTTATTAAACCTAGAATGGTAGACTGGCAGCTGGAATGGATGAAGTGTTAAAGATGCTACATATACATGACCTAATTTACAAGTAAATTGAATCATATCAACACAGTCAGTTCACAGCATGACAGACCCAAAAAGTACTGAGATGACACAACTGCATAAGAGACCAAATAAATCAGAGGTGAAAAGATGCTGCTGCTAAAAATGAGAACGTCTGCAGCTTGAACACTTAAAATGGGAAAAAAATACTAAGTGCTGCTTAAATAGGCTACAAACTAAATACTAAAAGTTGTGTGTACATTTCTCCGTAAAGGCCACTAGATGGCATCGCTTTGTTACTCTTCAGCCAAAGAAATATTTTTCTATCAAAATACTCGCACACATTTGTTTAAACCGAAACTCCTCCTTGATGATTTGCCAGTGAAGTTGTTACAAAAGCTAATCTTACCGTGTTATGAGATGATTCATCACACGAATATATTTAAAATAGTCGAACTTCTCGAATGTTTGAATTACTGGACCTTTGAGTGGATACCGACCGTCCAACAACTCCAGAGAATTGATTACTTTACTTCGAAATTTACTCCATATACACATTTCACAGTCTTATCAGTGATTTCACGAGTCTAATAATTTCATTTTTCATCAATTCAGTCATTCAGATACACCACATTTTTAGGTAAATTTTCAAACGTGTCCAAAACTAATTACCACATTTTTATTTTTAGTTTTAATGCTAGTAAAAAGAAATGGTTCCATTAAAATGAATTTAGAAAATCCTTTACTTATTGCTGGTGAGACCTGAAATTCTACATCGTAAAATATATTTTCTAAACGTAGAATTTTGATGTGTAAGAATTCAATTCACTTCACGAGTACTATTTTTTTACTTAGTCGAGTTGATTTTTTTTCCTGCATAAAAGCTAAAACGGGCTTTCTTCTCTGTCGTCCTAAAGACTTTTATGCAACCTTTTTCCCTCCGGCTCGCAGTTTCCGCTATAGACAGGAAGTGTTCTCTTTGTGTGTTTAGCTGAAGTTTGCGAAGGTTTTTGTCGAGGTGCCCTTTGCATTGTGTTGTTCAACATGTCGGATACATGGAGCAGCATCCAGGCTCACAAAAAGCAGGTGGACTCTCTCCGAGAGAGGATCCAGAGGAGGAGGAGAGACCCCGCGCAGCTGGGCGCCGTCGGTAACTGAGCGTTACTGCTGTTTGTAGCCTGGCCGTGCAGTGCAGTACAGTCAGCCAGCAGCTCACAGCGAGCTTAACTGCGTTTAGTCGCTGCAGTGTAGGTTTAATACTGTGTAAAAATGACAGAATATAAACCGCGAGCAAGTCTCCTTCTAAATGATGGACGTCCTTTACATGAAAACACGTAGAAATCTAGTTAGTTAGATTACGTCAGTCTGTGAATGCCAGACACACGCAAGCTAAAAGTGGTGAATTAAAAACAGTGACGGCCAGAGGTGTAACGAGGCTCCTCCGGGGCGCCTAATATGACAATTACTTCCAATTATTAAAAAATGCTAGTTTGCTTATTTACACTGTTGTTCTGACTAACAACGCCCTCAAGGCATGAGACTCCACCACAAGCCTCTAGCGTTAAAGGGGAACTCCACCTATTTTAAAAAAATTCTCCATAATTAAATGGTTAACATGTCAACAAAATAATTCAGATTGGTTTGCTTTGTTCTAGAGAAACTTAACCGAGTCAGAATTGTTCACAGTTTTGGTGAAAGGAACCAGACGTCTGAAGAGTTTAATGCCTCTAAATAATATTCATGCATAGTTATGATTACATTGCCTGATGTCTGAGACATTGATTTACAGTAGTTTCGTGGCAAAGTTTTTAGTCTAAAACGTTTATTTAATTCGTTCATATTTTTTCAGATTTCCACAATGTTACCATCATCAGCATTGCATATAAAAACTCAGAAGACACTGGTGGTTTTGGATAGTAAATAAAATGGATATATTTGTGTTGTAGACATTGTGACCCCTGCTTCCCTTTGACACCATTATAAAGAAATCGGAATTGGTAAATCTTTCTAAAAATGAACTGTTTCACCTCAAACCACTGTGATTGACTTTGGTTTTATATAACCATTGAATTATACGGAAACTTTGAAAAATCAGTGGAATTTCCCTTGATCCTAAACGTTTATGTTAGACTACCTATTTAAGACTTTAAACGTATAAATAATGTATGAATGATTTTGAAGCTTGTGAAGCATTTCTTTGAAATAAATAGACATCAGTGCTGTCTGTGTAGTGTTGTTGGAGACTAACTGTTGAGCTGTCTGCAGTTGTGTCAGTATTTGTATGAGAGTTTACAGCGATTACCACCCCCACCCCCCAACCAGTGTTTACGGCACTGGTGACATCCGTCTCATAAAAGTTCATTATTATAGCTCTTGGTTGAATATGCCAGTTAGTGAACGCACTCCACTTCTCCACTTCACATATAAAAAGAAGTACATAAGTACTATTGCTTGTGTACTATGTGCAAGCACTGTGGAGTTAGTGATCATCTTCATGAATTTTTCTCTCTCTTATCAGAGGTAGGAGGTGTTGATGGGGCAACCACACGGAGTGACAGTCCTGGGCCAACTGTCCAAACCCCCGCACAGGTAGAGGTGGAGCGTCCACCGGACCCTGAATTAGAGAGAAGACTGCTGGGATACCTGTCCGAACTGAGTCTGTCACTACCCACTGATTCTCTGGCCATCACCAACCAGCTCAACTCTGTATGTATGGCAGTATGAGATTACTCAATGTGATATGTGCAGGTCTGTGTTTTCTATATATTTCTGTACCTTGATTTTGATCTCTTCCTCCTTCTTCTCCACTCCCCTTTGTCTCTCTCAGTCTGAATCACCAGTATCCCACACCTGTATCCAGAGTCTTTTACTCAAGTTTTCTGCTCAAGAGTTGATCGAAGTCCGGCAGCCAACCATCACTACCTCGTCTTCCTCCTCTTCCTCATCCACCTTGGTCATCTCCGTAGATCATACAAAACTATGGGCCATGATTGGCAGTTCCACCGCCCAACCTCAAAGGACTGGTGTCAAAAGGAAAGGCGATGATTCCATTCACCAAAAAAGGGGCCCTGGCTCCTCCCCTCTGCTTCCCTCTCCATCCTCACCACCCAAGACTTCGTCTATTTCCCTGGCATCGTCATCTAATTCACAGACAGGGACTTCTGATTGGAAGATGGGAGGTGCTGGAGCTGGGGCTGAGAAAAAAGGGCGAACCAATAAGGGAAAGACGTCTCATGTGGATATGGAGATAGAAAGCCTGTTGAACCAGCAGTCAACCAAGGAGCAGCAGAGCAAAAAGGTACAAAGCATTATTAAAGCCACTGGTCATAAAGAGTCTTTACTGGGTCAGTCCATGTGAAATTAGCAAAGGCTTCTTGACTGACCAAGTCAGATTTTCTTAAAACTCAGGAAACAGTTTCACCAAACAGACGGTGTGCAAAAATGTAGGCTTCTGCCTTTGTTGGTTTCCAAGAATATATATTCTTATAATACCTAAATGTATCATATAGAATATATTAATATATATACATTTTGTTCTTGTGCTCTGCAGTGAATTTAGTCATTTATATCTCCAACCTGAAAAATATCAGATCTTTCAAATGTTGGTATTTGCTACTTATATCCCAGTATTCTTTTGCCAGTTAGTTGGTCTTAAGTAAAGAATTCTGATTTGTGAACCATTAAAACTCACATTTACAACTACATTTCAAATGCATTATTGATCACATTTTAATTAACAAATGTACCAAATATGAATTTGTATTTTGAGCCAAAGTAGTAAAAAGTCAAATAGCCTGCATTTGATATTACAAAAAACAGAAGCATAAAAAAAACACTCTGTATAATCACAGAACTGTGTTAGATACATTATTAAGCAAATTCGAGATGGTCAGTTGAGAACTTTTTCTGAAATCTGGTGGACTTACCTTATTACAAGCAAAGTACAAGCGAATGATGTTAAATATATGTACATGTGCATGTGGTAGGTAAGCAGAGAGATCCTTGAGCTATTGAACACTAGTTCAGCCAGGGAGCAGTCCATTGTGGAGAAGTTCCGCTCACGAGGTCGAGCACAGGTACAGGAATTCTGTGATCATGGGACTAAAGAAGAATGTATGCGGTATGGAGACACCCCACAGCCCTGCAACAAGCTGCACTTCAGGTTGGTCTGCCTCATACGTCCCACACAAAGATAGATTGGTCTGCCTCATCCCACACAAAGATAGATGTTAAACCCACTGAGACTGACGTCTGATCTCTTACACCGGGCACAGCTTGTTTTGTAGGACCATTGGATGTGATACTGTATTTATTTACTGTTAGTACTTGCAGCATCATACTGTTCTTTAAAGAACATTCAGGACTTTTCAGATGGTTTCCTATTAGCACATGGGTACTTGTCCTTCCCTTGCCCCATTCTCAGTTCAGTTCAATTTAAGTTTATTTGTATAGCACCGTTTAAAACAGACTTTGTCACTTGCAGCTTTATAAAAATACGGATCCAGGCTGAATCTTTTGGGGAAAATGCCTAAATGTGATTTTTTTTTTCTGGCAAATATTCTGGCTGCAGTTTATCATGCAATTATTTTTAAAAAATTAAAGATTTAGGCCTGTGTTTTTTGACCAAGAAGACCAGCATATTAATTTTTTTCTGGACTGAGAGTTGAAAGCTGAACATGTTATGTCAGACTGCCAACTTGTTAAGCCAACATTGTCCATAATGTAGGTTATAATTTTGATGGAAACTCCTTTTTTTTTTTTTATTTCATCTAAAACCGATTATGCTTTCAGTAGTCCAAGCCCCTTATGAGCACCATGTCTTGAAATAATTTCGGTAAATTCTATGAGTTGTGTCAAATATGTTCAGAGTGAAGGATATAAGAACATAGTCAGTTAGGAAATGAATGTAGTGTAAAGCATTGTTGTGTCTGAAAAAAAGGTTCCATCAGATAAGTTCCACTGGTTGAAACAGTCATTTGACTTCCATAGGCGAATCATCAACAAGCACACGGACGAGAGCTTGGGTGACTGCTCCTTCTTGAACACCTGTTTCCACATGGACACCTGCAAATACGTGCACTATGAGATCGACAGCCCACCTGAGGCTGAGAGCGGCACGTTGGGACCACAAGCAGGGGCCACCGAGCTGGGCCTGCATTCTGGAGATGCAGACAGCAATGTTGGGAAACTGTTCCCAGCGCAGGTAGGAGATCTACAGAGTATTAGAGAAAAGGAGAGAACATTTGACTGTAGATAGTGGCTGTGCACTAGACTGTCTCATGATTAACGGAGATCTTGATGCTGGACCAGAATTGGATTCAGTTGGATGACAGTTTCACACAGCTACTTTGTTGAGATTCTAAAAGCAAGCTTATTTTTTGCTGAGATGAAGGCATTCTTGGAAAATTTTCCTTTCCACGTGTGTTAATGCTGGTTGTTATTAAAAAAGAACTGGCTTAGTTGATGTTGGAATTTCTTATTTCATGCTAGAGCCAGCCAGCTGCATTGTGATTTATCAGTATCTGAGTTTTTCAGACTTCAGGAGGGCTAAATGCGTCCATGCCTAAGCTTTTGAATTAATGCCTTTAGGCTCCCCTTTTTAGTAGATTTTTGTACTGATATTAATGTAGTCCAGCTGTAGTAGTTTTCTTTATTTTTTATTCCGCATCAGTGGATCTGCTGTGATATCCGTTACCTGGATGTGTCCATCCTGGGGAAGTTTGCTGTGGTGATGGCTGACCCTCCATGGGACATCCACATGGAGCTTCCATATGGAACGTTGACCGATGACGAGATGAGAAAACTCAACATCCCGATTCTCCAGGATGATGGCTTCTTGTTTCTCTGGGTCACTGGCAGGTGTGGATAAAAGTAGCATTATTTAATTTAATCTAATCATTATATGGATGTTCTACTTGAACAGAACATCTGTACTTGTTATGACTTTGCATAAAGAATGTTGATTAATAATCTTCATGCGACTGTATTAGAAGAGCATTTTCTGTGTTCCTAGGTTAAACTGCCTCAACAGAGTGAGGTGTACATTTGTATAAATTTAGAGTTTGAGGAGCTTCATCTTAACTTCTTCTATTAAAATAGGTTAAATTTAGAAACCTTTTACATAGTGGAGGAACTGTTTAACCCTTCTTTAAACAGTGCATCTTGTTTAAACCTTAATCTTGGTCCAGTGCTTAACTATTAAACAAGACACAGCTGTTGTTCACCCAGTTTCTGGTACAGAAGTCTCGGACGTTACACTGCAGCTTTCTAGACTTTTAAAAAGATACTACTCTATACAGAAGATAAATACATGCAGTGATATTAGAGGTCAAATCACAAAACTGTTAAAAGAGACTTCGTATTCTTACTATCTTCTATAAAAGACTGCGGTAAAGCTGTTTTTTTCTCTGGCCCAATCCTGCCCCTGGGTAGAGGAGCAGTCGCATTTTAAACCGTCATAATTGCCTTCAAAAAACCTGCCTCTGCGCTGGCTTTTATTGACAATTTTAACCTCTTCTGGAGCTGGCCATTATTCTACAGATTTGACAGAATTCATCTAAACAGGCTTGGTTCACAGATTTTAGGACACAACATATTTTACTCTCTACATATTTTTCACTCTAGATGACTACGCAATACCAATGATATTTGCTCAGATGTTCAGGTAATTATTGGTAGTGGACCTAAGACCAGCTTTCTACATAAGCACAAAAGAAATGTCAAATGAAGCAGACATATTTAATGGTTTTATAAATACAAACAACCTAATCTGCATTGGGCCTTCGCCTCCTTTCTATTGCCAACCAAAACCTCCCATAAACCCTAAAAAAAAGATTGTTTCTTCTTTTAGAACTATCTTGAAATAATTCATTTAAATATTAGAAGTTTACCTCAAAAGAATAAAATGGACCAAAGTACTGACTGCACAGTCTGACCCAGATATATTAATCCTAACAGAGACATGGCTTAAGCACCCCATATGTGATGCAGATGTAGCTCTAATATAGAATTGACAGAGAATCGAGAGGAGACGGAGTAGCTATTTTCATAAGAGCAAATATCCAAGCTAAATTACTAATCACAGTGTTAAAAAAATGTTTTTGAGTTCTAGCTTTGAAAGTGCCCCAAGTGAAAAATGAGTCTGTTGTATTAGTAGGGAACCTTCAGGCCTCCTTCTGCTCCATCTTCTGCAACAGATTAAATATTCAGTAAGCCAGTGTTTCCCATAAAATGTGTAAGTAATTAAAATGCCATTTATAGATTTGAGAACATTAAAAAAATAGACATTTACAACTTCTCTCAATGTTCACATTTGTTTACAGAGCTATGGAGCTCGGCAGAGAGTGTCTGAGCCTCTGGGGGTAGGTGTATTTATCTAATTATTTATAATAATGTTCCACTCTGTGCTGAAATAGCAAAGGACCTCCTTGTGTTTTGTATTGTCAGAAGTTACACTTTTGCAGTAGCATCATAATGTGAACAAATTTGCTTTCTAAAGAAGCAATGAAAATTCTCTCTAGTTGTCTGTTTCAAACTGCCACTGGCAGTGTTCACCTTGGCTGGGCTGTGATTCACTCTTACTCTCTCGGTCTCTCTTTCTCTCTGGCTCAGATATGAACGTGTTGATGAGATAATTTGGGTGAAGACCAACCAGCTCCAGCGGATCATTCGCACAGGAAGGACTGGACACTGGCTGAACCACGGCAAAGAGCACTGCTTGGTGAGTTTCTGTGTACTTTCGTTGTGTTTCGTGGTCCCCCCCCGCCCCATCTTTTGCAACTTTAAATCTCTCTCTGATTCTTTCATATTAGGTAGGGGTGAAAGGAAACCCTCAGGGATTCAACAGAGGCCTGGACTGTGATGTGATCGTTGCAGAGGTAGAAACAGAAATATTACTGTGATGTTTCTCATGATATTTGGTATTATGTTGATCTTGTGCATTTAAAAGTAAAACAACATTGGTTTTCTCACACGTATGTTAGGTCCGTTCTACAAGTCACAAACCAGATGAGATATACGGCATGATTGAGCGTTTATCTCCTGGCACTAGGAAGATTGAACTCTTCGGGAGGCCACACAATGTTCAGCCAAACTGGTACATAGTTGAAGTTATAGCAGTTTTGAATGTTTTTTTTCCTTTTCACTCCTGTTATTCACGTCTGTCCTTTTTTCAATTCCAGGGTAACTTTGGGAAATCAGTTGGATGGAATTCACTTATTGGACCCTGATGTAGTAGCTCGCTTCAAGAAACGCTATCCAGATGGAGTGATCTCCAAACCCAAAAACATGTGAAGAAACTCAGACTGACACATGTGGAGTCCTCTCAGAAACTTGCAGATTACAGGTTTACACACTGGATATGTCCAGCCTGTGAATATTTTTGTATTGTCATGTGTTTTTAATAAAACACAGCAGAGTGAAAGAGGTTTTAGAACTGTTTTTAATAGCAAAATGGCACATACAGATCATAAAATCACACCTTGGAGACAGAGAGCTCTGTGAGAGCAATGGACAGTTTAAAAATCACTTTTTTGTTTAAATTTGACCAAACCAGATTTGATCACAATGTTTTCTTGCATTCTGTTAAACAAGTTTTGACCTTATTGTTTATTTGTATTTTTTTTTTAAATGCAGAGAAATGTAATTTTGGCATTAATGAAATCTCTGTATCAACCTCGTTTTTGTGGATCACATTTTTTTGTTAAACTCTGCAAACTTATAAAAGACATATAAAACTTTTTAAACAGTGTTATGGTGGTTGACAAGATGGGTTACAGCACTGTCTTGACAATCACTAACAGTACTCTAGGATAAACGTAAACCTGTTTGCTGTGATGTCGCTACTTGATGCTGTTAAAGTGTGAAGAATTAAGAATGAACAAATGTGTGTAGTATTTAACATCTTGTGTCTGCATACAAACCAATCTGAGCTCTACGTCAGTATAAGAGGCAAAAGGAAAAGAGCACTTGTAAAGAAACCAAAACGGCCTAAAAAAGAAAAGAACTTCTTTTTTAAGCCAGAGAAAAGACCTCGACCTCTTTTTGCTGATACTATTTGCAGTTAGGGTTTGTTAGCAAAGAATAAGAATAATAAGAACTGAATAATTTGCTGGTAAAATGAAAACATGACAAAAAGTAGTTGCACAGAACCATCAACCATAAGCAGACATCTGTGTAGAAGTACCAGAAAATATGAAAGGCCATGCCAAGGGAAGCGAGCAGGACAGAAACTAAAGAACACAGAAAGCACTTTTTGTAGTCTCATACACATCTCTGCATAAAAGCTCAGGACCTTCATTTTCCCTTTCTCTCTTCAGTGTAACTCTGCCAGTCAGTGGTGTTTTGCTGGCAAACACACTGACTGATTCCATCTTTGTGTCAGCACTTAAAGAGGTCATCCATTGAGTGGCTATGAGACACATCTCGTTTCAGTTCACCTTCCATTACCCATGATAACACCCCCTGTCTCTCCGGACAGTTCACAACTGAGGGGTCAGAGTTATTTTCAAGAGCTTGGCAACCAATGGGAGTTAATATGTGGCATCTACTGCATTGATGTTGCTGTCCATCTGGTGTCTGAAGGAGACCCGAGCCTTCTGGGAAAAATACACCTGAGGGCCACCCAGGCTGCTCCCGCTGTCACCCTCACTGCCCATTGATGTGGTGGAAGAGAGACGTGGCTTTGGTTCCTCACTTGATATGGCAGTTTCTTAAAGAGAGAATTGAATTAGAATATTAGAACCAAGATAGAACAAAATACAAAGAGCTAATATCTGGTTCTAGTAATGGCTTGAGTTCTAAATCAGTGAGCAGAAGATTAGCATTCATATTTGAGTTTAGTACCATCTGAAACTAACTAATGTAGTATAGTGTAGAATCCAATAGCGTATTAACCAAATTACTGTTAAGCCTCCATTCGGTTCTAATCACATAGCACTCAGTGTGAGGAAAGCTGAGCTTTAACATGCCATACATTTCCTTATCTGTCAGAATTGAAGTATTAAGTAGGTTTAGTATTTTAAAAAACGAGAAGGTGAACTTTAGGGCTGTCACAGTTAAAACTTAACATGATTAGTAAAAAGTTAAAATGCTTTCTTGGTGATTAGTTGGCAATTTGCATGATGACAATGCACATTACATTCCCTCACAGGTCTCTCACAGAGCCTGGTGCCACATGGTGTATTGTACATATGTGAAAGTCTTTTTAAAGGTTTCCCAGCTGATCTTTTTCCAAATTAAGTATTTAGGAATATTTAAAAGGCTCAGTTAACTTGTTCAGTTAAGTCGATTGTTGTTAAGCCGTTTTTAAAAAGCTCAGATAGCTTAATTGTCAAAATAATCGATGGATCATCCAATTATAATATAATCAATAGTAACAGCTCTAATAAAATTACAGTAAGATAAAATCAGTAGCTGGGGTCTCCTACCTGTCTCAGGAGGGCACTGCCTGTTCTTGCATTTGTCTTTGCAGCGCCTGTAGAAAGGGAAGCACAGGAGCACCTTCACACCCATTCCTCCAGGGGGCGCTAAGGAATAAGAGGGAGGGCAATGTAAGAAATTTATCAGGGAGAAGAGTCTGTTTCTTTTCAGTTTTGAATTAACAAATTCCTGCCACTTAAAATATTCAGCTCCTAATTATATTGTTTGTTTCATTATTAAGTGAATTGCTATGCTATTATTTTTTTATTTTAAGTTGTTATTTTGAGATACTCTCTAGTTATTTTGAGAAACTTTCTCATTATTTTAGCACACGCACAGACACACACACACACACATATATATACATACATACATATATATATATATATATGTGTGTGTGTGTGTGAACTAGATACTGATAAATAATGAGAAGGTTTCTCAAAATAATGAGATATTGTATCTCAAAATAATGGCATAGCAATTCAATGATAAAATTTTAATTAGGTGCTGGATTTTTTAGTTTAGGTGGGGGGAATGGGTTTCCATACAGATGTCACATACTTCAAACTTATTTGATCCCATTTTTGCGAACTGAGAATGAGACCCATCATTAAATCATGATCTGATTACATTGTGGTATTGATGGGAATAGTTTGTTTGATTATGTGTTGAGGGGGATAATCTAATCGAATCAAATCTTCACACCCTGCCACAGTGTCTTCAGAAAAAGAGGTGTGGCACCGCTGTCCAGCGCTAGCTAATCCTCTGAATCGACGTCAGTGGGCTAGACAGGCGTCCTGCTAAGCCCTTGATTGGCATTAGTCAACACAATAGGTCATGTTCTCAGGGCAGACATGCAGATCTCTTTATGATCCAGTTGAAAGTCATAACTCTAAACTGCCAGTAACAGCCAGCAGACGTGGGCTAACTACTCACATTTACTCAGTTACATGTGCTCAAGTAAAGTTTTGGTGGATTTGTACATTTCCGATTTTATTTTTAAATGACTTCCACATAAGTAGCCTATATATGTATGGAAATGAATCTACATTTTACATTTAGGTCACTAACATTTAACTGCTAATTCTTTTTTGGGTTTCATTTCAAAATGTGACATTAGTGACATCATCTGTACTGATTTGTCACTGATCATACCTCTGAATTTGGAAGTTCAACATTTTATTTTAGCCCAAAAGGATCATATCAGGAGAAGAATAGCATGTAGGAAACAGCAGTTCCTATGCCGATCAGGGCTGGTTATAAGAATTTCCATGCAGTTCTATTGGGAGCTTTGCAATGTAATTATCTGAGCTCGAGTTGTGTTTTTGGAAAGATAGTTTTACTTTTATTTGAGCCAGTAAAATAACCAATGCTCTTTCACCACTTTTTAATATGTTCAAACATGAACCGCAAACCAGTTGTACTGGTTTGTATTTAAAACATCTATCAGGTTACATGATCGCTGCAAGGCCTTCTCATTTTATACCACTCTGTCTCATTCACTGAAATGATTAACTGTGTAAACAAGGCTGCTCACAGAGTAGAGATAAAAAAGAAAATAAAGGATTGAATTGCGTGAATGTATATATTCCACATTTACCATGTAACTCATGGACACAGATAGTGTCAGTAGACGTTGCTGACAAAGTCACTGTCACAGAGATCCATGCCAGTACATGCCCTAGACACGCCTCCTAAAGCATTTCTCATTCTCTCTGAGGCTGAATATTAAGAACATGAATCATTGCCTTCAGAACAATACAATTAGATTTTTAGTATAAAAAAACTATTACTATACAACCACTACTGCAGGAACTACACAGTAGTGGAATATAACAAAACAATACAAGCTCTTTTTAAGACTGAAACATTTGAAAAGTTTAATTTGGCCAAAAAATGAGAGTATATTTTAACAAATATCATTAAAATTGATGTAGCTGAATTCCCCACCTTTAGATCAATGCATTTTCCACTGCTGCTGAATAGTCTTATTTCTTTCTCGTTAACATTATGACATTTAATGTCTTCAGCTGAATCACTATTAACAATGTTCTTTTCTCTCCACAGCTCTCTCTCTCTGTCTCTCTCCCTCTCTCTCTTATTCTCTCTCTCTTGCCTGTCGCTCCTCCAGCTACCCCATACTTCGCAGTTCTGAGGTAAACTCTCATAAGCTTGGTAGCTTTCTCACACTACTGATAATCTGGCACATGATCAACTCCACTCAGTTCCAGCCCATGAAAAAAAAAACTTCTGGGACAATGTCAGTTCCCCCAGAGCACACAATGGCAATTGTGTTTCCATTTGACTTATGTGATATTGCAGAACAATATAAAACAGTATACGTGCCTTTACAGCCTGGCAATCACTCAAGTGTAGTTACAGATTTGGTGCCGATTATGTAAAGGGTCAATATGAGATGAAGTTTTATGTGGTTCTTGGAAACTGTAAAAGCCACAATGACAGTAAGATCTTAGAAGTCTACCTGTACAATCTTGAAAAAAGCTTGAACACCCAAATTAAATATGTTTTGTTCATTTTCTATGTGAAAATAAGTGAACACATCCTGTACAGGGAACAAACTTAAATACTTGTCAATTTTTTCCTGCTAATTTTAGTGCACTTTTCCCATTCCATACAAAATGGCATAACTTTTTTTAAATAACCACATTTTATATTTCATTTTTCCCAATGTGTTTACTTTAGCAAATAGACAGTAACTGTGTATTTAAATTGTGCATGGAAAGTGTGTTCTCTGTAGAGGATAAGTTAACTTATATTCTCTTAGAAAATCAAGCAAACATGTCCTTTGACCAGGGCACCCAAACTTTTGCATACGGCTGTATGTAACTTTTTAACATTGAATCTAGCATGACAGTACATTATGAAGGTCAATAGGGTTGCTATTGAAAAAACATCATTACAGAGGTTTATTTTATGGAGCTTTCTCCAGGCCTGGACATCTTCAAGCGTCCTGTTGAGCTTTACACCTAAACATATAACCATTATATCACTGTTGTACATTTCTGGTACATTCACTTTACATAGTGTGCTTACTACTCTTTATGATACAAAGGAAATCTGTGGGCCTGTGTTAAGTTGTTCTGCTGTTTAAGTAGTCATTTACTTAAATACCAAGAGCATGGATTACGTCTTTTACAAACAGTGTTTCTATGCAACTACACAGCAGCCTTTTCCTGTTCTTATGTTGGGACGAATTACATATCTGGCTCTGTGCTTTGTCCACAGTGATAGCCAGTAAAGTACAGATGTTCATTCACCAGTGTTGCCTTGAGAATGTAATCCTAAGCCATCTCTGTGCATTGTAATGGTGAACTACTCAAGCTTTTAGTGCAACCATGGTGTTTGTCACTGGATCAGGCGAGGTTACTGGGAGAACACAATGTTCGAAGGATTTTCTCTGAGAGCTTTCCCAGTACTGCAGCCTCAAAGCAACAGTAAAATCTTATTAGTGTTATTGTTTTCATGTAGCAATTGGAAATCTTACATAGCTTTGCTCTCATATCTAAACCTTGTTACTCCATTAGTTTTTGTTTTTTGAAAGTGAAACTCTGAACACAGTGGAAACATTTTAAGACTAATCGACCAATAGAAATGGTCCAAAATGACTGAGAATAAAATGTTGTTACATTAACTTCTTTTAAAAGATTGTTGTTTTTTCCTCTTCCCCTGTAAAGCACTTCAAAAATATGAGGTTTTGTTACAACAGCAAACTCATGCTGCCCTCTCACTTACAGCTGTAAAGGCAAAATGGAACAGATGACCAATATTAATGCCATTCTGCTTACTAGCTCAGATACAGCCAATGCATACTCCTCCCCTCACTGTCACACCCTTAATTCAACACAGACACGTTGTGTAGACGGTATCGTCAGTGGTGAGGAACTGTAGGCTCTTGTTCTTTCAGACTGAAGCAGAGTTCTCTGGCAGCACTCAGGAGGGATATAGTGAGAGAGATGAGAGAGAGAGAGTTAAATAACTCGTAACTGGTGACTTAAAGGGGAAGTCCACTGATTTCTCAAACTTTTCACATAATTAAATGATCAATATGTAAACTCAGTCATTCAGAGTGGTTTGAGGTGAAATGCTCTGTTGTAGAGAAACTCAGAACTGTTCACAATTGTGGTGATAGGAACCAGATGTCTGAAGAGTTTAACTCTTCTTCTCTTTAAAAGCTAACCCAGAGAAAGCTATTTCATGTAGTGGTTATGAATACACTGCCTGATGCCTAAGATTTTGTTTCTTGAATGTTTTGGCCTTTTTTTTAATCTCCTTTCATGTTGGAGAGGTATAAGCAAGGTGTCGTCAGCCAAAACAGTCCCCAAAGAAAACTTTTTTTCTTGCTTTATCACCTTTTTACTATTATAAACATTACATATGAAAACTCAGAAGATATGTAGGTTCACTGGTCATTTTGGATAATAAATAAAATGACCACATTTTTGTTGTAGACATTGCTACCAGGCTTCCTATGACCACAACTGTAAAGAAATCTGAGTCGGTAAGTTTCTCTAGAATGGATTGAACAAATCTGAGTGACTCAGTTTATAGTGATTGAATTCTGCAGAAATAAAGAACAGTGGAATTATGTAAAAAAAACAGTTGGAATTCTCCCTTTAAAGGCCAGAGAGAGCCATTTTTTCCTCTTCTCTGTTATATTTTTTAACTCAAGGCTTTAACCCAAGTCCCAGGATGACGTGGGAAACCTGTGGGCCTGCGCTAAGCTGTCTTGCTGCTCAAGTGGTCATTTACTTAAAAACCTACGAGGCCTTTCACAAACAGGATCTTTATGTGACTATACACGGCAACAGTTCCATGTTCTTACCCTGAATGGTAGGACAAGCTACATATCTGTGTCTGGGTGTTTTCACTTCTTCATAGGTTAAGTAAACATAAATGAAGGAATTCAACTTGACTTTTTCCAAGCAGTTCTCCAAAGTTTACTCACAACACATGGCCACGCCCCCGCTCCCTCATGTAGGCCTAGACTTTTCTGAGAATCCTGAGCCCCCAAGTCCCACTGTTTATACATACAGTATATCGTAACTGTTCAAAGGAAAACAAGTATCTCCAAACTGACCACTTTAAAGGAGAAGGCAAAAACGCTCTTAACTTTAATGCATGTTAATGCATAGACATTTTATTCAAAGCAGTTTTGGAGCATGCCTATTGGTCCATTCATCATGAAATTTTACACAATGTAAAGGGCAACTGAGGAGCGATGCCATAGAAGAACAACTTTATGTTTGAAAGAGATGTGTGAGTGTTAAGAACCTTCTAAAGGCTTAAAGAACCTTTACATACTATAAACGTTCTATACCAATTTAAGGCTTCTTTCAAGAATCCTTTCATTATGTGGCAGTTCTTCAAACTTAAAAAGGTTCTTCACACTGACATCTTTACAAAAATAAAGGTGCCAAAAAGGCTTCTTTGGAGCAGCTTAGTAGAAGAACCAGTTTTGATTCTTTAAAGAACCTTGTTGACTTGGACATGCAGTTCTAGGAGCCTTTCATGTGCAAGTTTGAAGAACGTCCACATAATGTACAGGATCTGTGTCAATTAAAGGGTTCTCCTAGAACCACAAGTCCAACATACAAGCCATTTAGGAATCTTACTTTTTTAAGAGTGTACCAAAAGGGACATAGCCTCCATAACATGCTTCTTGAACCATAAAAATGCACTCAAAATGAGATTTTAACTCTGTGGTTAGGCTACTAATATACTGCACATGTTGAACGACAGCGAAAACATTCTTAAGCTTTTTCAAAGTATGAAATTGCAATTCATATCCACAATCATGGAATGTGTGGTTGAGGGGGTTATGGGCAGTTTTCTGGAGATGTTGAGCTATGTGTATGTGGCTTCGTTCCTCCTTGGACCCCTCTGAGTCAGGCACGGTGCCCAGCACACAGCGATGCTGCTGCCATTTCACGTTAATATGCTTGGACAAACTGGCCTAGTGAAACTCTCCCTGAAGAATTTGGAGGGGTAAATATATATTTTAAGGTCCTTCCAAAGGTCTCTGTCTTCAGCATTACCATCATTAACTTATTTTGATAAACCTAAGATTCTCTAACATTGTGAGAGACTGCCTTTGGTCTTATGAAATTTATACTTGACCATGCAGAAACATTAAGTAGTAAGGACTGTATAGTGGTTCACAGTTTTAGAGCATATATGTAGTTTTAGAGCATGTAATATGTCCCCAAAATTGTGAAAAAGATCTTTAAATTTTGTACATATGTACTAAAATACAAAGCAATCAAGATGTAGATTTATTTATGTTGAAGTACAGATCAAACTGCTGTAAAGACTTTTACGGCCTGTGAAGACACTGTCTGTGCTTGAGTATTTGAGAGCCTAAAGTGGAGCATTTGATTAATAAAAACAAGAGAGAAGAATGGAGATACTCAAGGCACTTAAGTTGACACCAAGTGATTTGCAATGTCCTGACACCAAGTGATTTGCTGCCAGAACGGTCTGGTGCCAAGTATGAGCAAATTTCTTTTCCTAAGAATTGAATACAGAATCCAGTCCTTTCTATCAGTGGTTCCCATCTGTAGTACTAGAGTAGCCCTGTGCTGCATATTTTTGGTGTTTTCCCTGCTCTGCCCTGTCAACCAACCTACTAGTGAACAAGCCCTTCCGGAACTGATGTGACTGTGTTTGAGCAGAGAAAAGACCCAAATGTGCAAAGGATGAGTTCTCCAGGACCAGGAACCACTGCTTTATATACTGAATCCAAGACATTTACAGCACTGACAGACACTCTTGTCATGTCACAGCAGTAGGCAAACATAACATTAGGAGTCTTGCCCAAAAACTCATATTAATACAACATAGTGCTTGCCCGGGTGGGGTATAGAACCTCAGTCTGGCGCATGGGGGGCAGCTGTGTTACCCACTATGCAATACAAACTGCATTTATAGCTAGAGTTCAATTTGGGAGTTGATTTTATTACTGTCATTATAGGACCTGAGATGTCTATTATCTGTATAATGATCTAAGTCATTTTAAATTTACGATATTTGCCTTTGAAATGCAAAATTTATCAAAGTCCACAAAAATGAACACAGCAAATCCAAGTAATGTTAAGCTGTTTTATACTACAGTCATCTGCTGATGATAATCCTGCTAAAAACACATTTAAAGTTTCTGTTGGTTCCAATAGTCAGTAATGATGTTTTGTGTTTTTCTGATAGGTTGATATCACAGTGGAAAGGACTCTAATGGTTTAACAGGTGTTCTGGAACTGTTGACAGGTGCATTTGATGGTTTCCTAAATGGGGTATGAAGATGAGCTACAGGTTCTACTTGTGGTCTCTTCTGGTAACTATTAAGCCAATTCCTATTAGAAAGCATAATGGTTTAAAAAGACAGTTAGATCCTATAGGACTAAAACCTGATAGAATAACATTAGTGACTGTGAGACACCATCAGGAACCAACAGAAACTTTTAATGGTTTCTGTGATTTCTTTCAGCAGAGCACCACCCCCCTGGAGACTTTTACAGTTCAACCACTGTTTATATCAGCTGTGCAGGACAAAGTGCGGACAGCAAATAATTAGGCTTCCTCAAACATGCACGATAACGCGTTGACTGTAATGGCGCCTATAGCCTTCCAGACATCCCAGTAACAACAATAAGAGGGCGAAAGCTAACTTCAACAGCTCGGAAGGGAGGCAGATACTGGGGGGAATTGTGCAACTGCCCTGCTTCTTCAGCGCTCTGCTCTCCCACACGGACTCAGCGTGTCGTACGTGACGTACAAGCTGACGGCAAAGAGGAACAGCAGCGTTTACCAGCTAATAAGGAGCCGCTGAGCTCACACTAAATCACTCGGCTGGACGGTCGAGAACGCCTTCAGCAGATCTACTGCTGCTCTAACCACAGTGAAAAGCGTGTCACATAAAAGTGCTGGGTGTTCAGGAGAAAGCAGAGCGGTCATGGACGATAAGAAAAAAAGCTGTAATCTCAGCTATCTGTGAGCTAATCAGAGGAAACCCAGCGAGCCACATCCATTCAGCTGACTGTAGGCTTCTTCGACCACGAGGCTGAAGTTGGCTTCCTATTCACCAGCTCCTGGTTCGAATTTTCCCGTTCCACCTTAAATGGTGCAGCAGTTACATTCTGACGGGAAAATTCGAATAAGAAGCTGACTTCAGCCTCGTTCTTCGAGCAAGCTTTGATTAGTGATACACAGCTAAAAATGCATTTCTTTACTTAGAAAAAGCCACAGTAAATGCAACAAGCATTTTATAGTAAATTCTGGTAATTAATACTTTACTACAAGCTACTACATACGTTTCAAAGATTACTATAAGGCTGTACTGCAGGAATATCACATTATTATAGATCATTAAAGCATTGTTCAGCACTATAGGTATCTTGTACTTTTTAGAATATTACTGTAGATGTTTTGTAAAGGTGTACTGTTCAACATGCCTCTGTTTTCATTATTTTGACTCTGCTTTAATACAGTGAAATGCGTGGCAACGTTGGCAGTAATATTTCTTGCATTACACAGACCCTCCCACCGTGACACACCTCCAGCAGAAGTAAGGTAAACAGCGTTTTTTTACCTTTTACCTTGGTTTGCTTCGTTTAAAATAGTCTAGTTCACCTGTCGTGCAGAATGTAAATGATAATTTACAGTATTGACTTACGCTTCAAAGCGTCCCAGTTGCACTGAAATCGTGGTTCCTCAGCTGGCTTCAAATGGTCGTCAGTAACTCAGTAACTTCACTCAGTCAGATTAATAATATTTCACTGGCTGTTCCTGTCCTGACAGCACGCGAAGCTCGGGGAGCACACGGAGCGCTTTAGCTTTAAATAGCTCATCTCAGCAGCTAGAGCGCACACGGACCACAGGCCACGCCCCCTCGTTCTCCGCTCAGTGCTGCTTCAAGACTCTGGCAGGGCTCCAGAGATGAGTGATAAACACGCTCTTCACAGACCGCCTTGGACTGCTTGTTCGACCACTTGTAGGAATCTTACAGAATAGACCGTCTGTGTTAGATCCAGTGTTTTCGGAGTCTTCAGAACACCCCTTTCTCTAACTGCTAGCGTTTGTAAGTAAGCAAGTTGGTAAGTTTTGTTTATAAAGTAGCCAACATTTAAACATTTCCTCCCACACAGAAATTATTAAGGGTCAGGCACATATTCCAAACTATATGTACATATATGCAGTGTTCATGTATGTAGGTATCAAAAATTGGACATATATGCACAATATATGCACATATACTGTATGTCTGAGACATATGTCTTATGCATGGATCATACATATATGTGGGAATACATCAGACATAACATTATGACCACCTCCTTGTTTCTATGCTGATTGTCCATTTTATCAGCTCCACTTACTATATAGGTGCACTTTGTAATTCTACTATTACAGACTGTTGTCCATCTGTTTCTCTGCATACTTTATTAGCCCCCTTTTACCTGTTCTTCAGTGGTCGGGACCCCCATGGACCCTCACAGATGCACTGCAGTAACACTGATGTGGAGGTGGTGTGTTAGTGTGTGTTGCGCTGGTACGAGTGGATCAGACACAGCAGTGCTGCTGGAGTTTTTAAACACCTCAGTGTCACTGCTGGACTGAGAATAGTCCACCAACCAAAAATATCCAGCCAACAGCGTCCTGTGACCACTGATGAAGGACTAGAGGATGACCAACACAAACTGTGCAGCAGCAGATGAGCTATCGTCTCTGTTACATCTACAAGGTGGACTGACAAGGTAGGAGTGTCTAATAGAGTGGAAAGTGAGTGGACACAGTGTTGAAAAACTCCAGCAGCACTGCTGTGTCTGATCCACTCAGACCAGCACAACACACACTAACACACCACCACCATGTCAGTGTTACTGCAGTGCTGAGAATGATCCACCACCCAAATGTAAGTAAAATAAATGTCCCATATTTGAAAATGGCGAGTTTCAAATAAGTTGGCATATTTGTCACATACATGGTCATATATGACAAATCTAAGTTGGACATAAGTGGAATCTGCTGTGGTATATGCTAATTTATGTCATACATTAGAAATCCACACATTGCCATATATCAGATTTCTGTATCGCGTTGCCCAAAGGTACAGATAAACTAAAAATGTAATCGTAATAAAACAAATAGAGAAGCAGAAAAATAAAACAGAACAAAAAAGACAATTAAGGCACTCTAAAATGAAATCTACATGGAGACCAGCAATTACTAGGCTGTATTGTTTGGTATTAATAACTTTAAAAATAATAACATCAAAAAATTAAATGAAAATATTGCATATTTAAATATTGCATATATCTAAGAGGAGCACATGGAGCAGTGAATGAAAACACAGAAAGAAAGAACCCCATTGATGTGACTGTTGTGTCCAGGGAAATCCTCTGAACCCTGTAGGATTATGGAGGTATCAAATAGACATTACTGGCTATGTGTGGTGAGTTGGCTATTCATACAGACATACTGCGAGCGGCTGTAGGAAGTACATATTTATCTTCATTCCACCTTATTTGTTGCACGCTGAACACAGAACTGTATTGAATGTACTTGACTCATATGTGTGCATCAAGGAAAAATGTTACATCAAGACTACTATTGCCAAATGTAAGTAAACAGAAGGACAAAATCCTGATATTTTTATTCGTTTGAATCAAGTACAGTTGTAGGCAAAATTTTAGTCTGTCTATTTAGTGTCATGAATATTTGTTGTGTATAATTATTGTTTTGTGTATTTGTGGTCGTGTATTTGTTGTTCTATATATTTATTTTCTGATGTATTTCTTGTATTTTCTTTATTTTTAAATGTTGAAATGTTGTTGGTTGCAATGTTCTTTGCTGTTTTTGGATCGAATTGTTTTCATAAGCTTAACTGGGCACTCCATACTGATTTTGACCTTATAAGCCCAGCCCCGTCATAGTCTCCAGTGCTCTAGTTTGGGTTTAAATCTGCATTACTCTAGGGACCTGATGAAAGCCTGTATCTCTAAACTGGTTCAGTGACTTGCATGGCTTGCTGTGCTACGTAAGCTGAGAGTGACTCAGAAAAAAAAACACTTTTTCTATCTTAGCTAGAAGCCCTAGGGTGGGTCTTCACCTGAACGGAAACTGAATTTGATACTAATTTTTTTTATAGTAAATGTATCTATTTGAATTTCCAAGAAATGTGTATACCAGCAACACCACTACCCTGCCTGACTAGAGAGAATAGTTTTACCTGAAAATACCTACCTGGTGGTGAAGCATCAGCATAAGCAGTGAGTGGGTCTCATTCATTTCCTGTGAGTAAGAGAGTCCTCATTACTATCAATGCCTTCATTATGTTTACTCATACAGGCTAAGAAGTGAAACAAGGCAGAAGATGATGTAAAGGCTCCATATCATGGAAACCTGAATTTTCCTCACTGTTCCTTGGTGTAGTATGTAAACACTATTAACCTTTCAAAACATACCATTCACTCTCCAGTCCATACAGCCCATATATGAACTAAGCTGCAATGACAGCTTGTTTTAAATTAATTGCTCAAAAACAAAAATACATATATCTACCTATTTAGAATAGGCTCCAGCTCCCCCTGCGGTTAGTGTGTGTGTGTGTGTGTGTGTGTGTGTGTGTGTGTACCTATTTAGAGTACAACAGTGTAGCCCATTTCTACTGAAGTTTGGTTTTGCATAAGATACATTTATTATGTTGTTAGCAAAAAGGGTTCTACACAGAAAAGGTTCTATGGTTTACAACAGTAGCAGAACCCTTTATGATTCTTTCAAAACTTTCTACAGGCTTTCCATCACGAGGAAAGACCAATTAATCATGCAAAGCACAGAGCTGGGTCTTTGAATGTTCAAAGTTCTACACATCATTGCTGTTGGAACAAAATTTTGCATTTCCGTTTTTGTAACTCAAAATGGACAAATGGACAAATAGAAATGGTCCAAAATGACTTTGATTAAAATCTTGTTACATTCATTTACATTAAAAGTTTTTACTTTTTTAGAGATGGGAGGTTTTGCTCGGACTGTGACAATTTAACCATTGACTTTGAAGAACCCCTTTTTTAAGAGTGCACCAAGGGTTTGCTAACTGGGCCCATGCCTTATTCGCATTGTTATCTGGGCCAATCTTTCAGGAATTTTGCCATTGGATTTTCTCCAGTGGAAATTTACAGAGTTGATTTCCAAAGAAACAGATTAGAATGCACACCAGAGTATCTGCTGCACAATCTGGGTTGCAGTCCAGGTTCTCCATCGATGCCAACTATGCTGTTGCTTTGGGTTCACTTTTTAAGCACTGGCTGTTTGGCACTGTGGTGTTTAGAACAAATTAGGACTCATTCCTGGCCTGTAATGACTTCAAATAATTTTGGTAAGAATTTGGCCACAGAAAAGCTGGTCTTAGATCCCTCATTAAGATCATATTTTTTATTTTTGTGTATATATCTTCATATGTGTGGTCATTATATGAGCACATGGCTGTGTGTGTAGTATCAGAAGTTATGCAGTAGCACTGTAATATGGTCAGATTTGCTGTCTGAGCTGAACAAACCTCACTTTATTCTCTCTTAGGGCTGTAAATTTCTGAAAAAGTAGCAGTAAAAATTCTCTCCACTTGGCTGTTCTGCACTGCTATTGGCAATGTCCACCTCAGCTGTAATTCTCTCTCTCTCCCACCTTTATGGCTTCTCGGTCTCCCTCCTTCATCCACGCATCTGTTTTATTTTGCCCTCTCCTCTCCCTTTTTCTAATTTCGACAGCCATGAAAGTGGATGTGGGTGAAGGACAGTTTTGGAGTCGTGAAGTGGGACATTATCTCTCAGTGACACACATAAGTGAGCAGTGGATCATTAACCAAGAACTGTGAGCCTTTGATAAAGAGCAACAAAGCAACTAGTGGCTGCCCTTTAGTGCTTCAGTACTGAGAAAGGACTGATCTCCGATCAGTGTAAAACAGAAACTTTTGGAAAGAAGGGTCAGTATTGGTTGCTGACAGTTAAAGGGGAATTTGAGCTATTCTTCTAAACATCTGTGTAATTCAATTGTTGAGATGTAATCAAGGTCATTCAGAGTGGTTTGATGTGAAATGGTTCATTGTAGAAAAACTTAAAGACTTAGATTTTTCACAGGGAACCAGGGGTCATGTCTACAATGTAAATATAGCCATTTTATTTGCTATTCAAAACAAACAGTGAACCTACAGATGTCTTCTTGGTTTTCTGAGCCAAAACCTTCTCTCAAAACTACTGTAAAATATTAACTTAATTTCAAATAATGCACTTCACAGATCATAAAATAACACCTTCTACACTCAAATTGTGCAATAGAAAGCAGTTTATATTCAACCATAAGCTGTATGACTCTCCAGCTAACGTTTAGTGCACTATTTGTGTGTAGAGGCCATAGTTTCATGACATATGCAGTGCACTATATAGGCCATGTATTTGTGAGCATTTCATGTAATAGCTGTGAGGGAGCTTTTAGAGTTATTAAACTCTTCAGACATCTGGTTCCTGTCACAACCACTGTGAACTCAGTGAACACTGTGAAATATCAGTGATTTAATTATGCAGGAATTTTGAAAAATCAGCAAATTTCTCCTTTAAAGCTGCTGCTAGAACACTTGTATACTGAAAACAGAAGTGACTCAAAAGCAGTTTTAGACAATTATGGAAATTCTCCTTATGCAATACGCTTGACCTTTCTCAAGGCAATTCATTATAACTTGACCAGATGAGATAACCTCAACATTGGATGCAGTGCACTATAATTTATACACCTCACCAATGACAAAAGGCACTATTTATATTTATCACGGAGGTCATTAACTACACTGTATGTTCTAATCCTGTCACTGTGTGCTACTCTTAAAACAAACTTCTCTTAGCTAAGAACCTCCACTGAAGACAACATCTGAGTTTTGTAGTTACATTGCATGACCTAAAGAGCTTAATTTGTCCCGATCTTTGAGAATTTCACTCCA